CACATGGTGTTGGTTGAAGTCTGAAAGTAGCATATTGCTTGGTACAGAACAAAATATTGGTGGATTGTGTCCTTAATCCTCCTGACAGCTGAAAGCCAGTCATATTCTAAATGACAAATAGAGGAGCAAAACGAATTTTGATGGTTGAATCATTTCCTCCAACAGTCACCTCATTGTCTTTTCTGTCAATAGGGCTGATCTCAGAAGTGTGGGTTTAGGACCATAAGGGACAGGTGGTGATGCTAACAGGTACTGGAGTAGAAGGAAGCAGGGAAGGGTGACACTTCCAAGGCTGGGTCACAGACTTCTTCCCCAGTTTAGCAGGGGACTAAACACAGGGCAGAAGTTATTGGGCATGAGGTACAAAGATGGTCACAGACACCTGGCTCCAGTTTTACTTTGGTGACAAAAACAGTCCTCCAACATGTAAAAGTGTTTTATCACTAAACAGGCAGAAATATCACCTACCAGTCATGGTTGGCCTTTAGCTACTAAGTAGTTTTGGTTTCTTTATCTACACGTAATAGCAGAGTCCTTCAGATTCTAGTTGTCCTGGCCATGGTTCTTGTCTTAGGTCATCACCTCATCACCAAATTTTGACTTCATAATAAAGTAAACCACACAGGGGATAGCTGTCAACATGGTGAGCACCTTCTTGTTCATCTATGCTCAAGACCTGGACTCAGGTGTTCTCACAGATCTGGTGGCTGTGACGCCCTGGCCTCACCTGCTCAGTGGGGTGACTATGAGCTATTGCTGAGCACACAATGGTCAGCACAGCTGCGTAAGCAGCTGTGGCCCCAAATGTGCTCCGGGACTTCAGGAAATCAAATTGGGTTCTATACAAAGGTTCTGTTGGGTTCTGACCAGAATCTCTTTGGAAGCGCCTCTGGATTCCAGGATCTCGCTGTGTTGATGGGGGAAGGTGTTGCAGATTCTCCCAGCTACCCGTAAGGGGCCTGTTGACATACATACTAAGGATGTGACTTGTCTTTTTCTAGAAAAAGTTCTCTTCATATTTTGAATGTATACACACACACACTCACTCACACATAGAATAATAACAATAGAAATAACAGACACTATTTCTTTGTGGGTAATGAGATAATTCCTTGGGTTTGGGGCTTATTTTGGTGGGGTCGCTTTATTTATTTCTTTTATTTTGATCGAACTGGGATTTCAACTCAAGGCTTTGAGCTGGCAAAGCAGTCCCTTTATTGTCTGAACCATGCCTCCAGTCCCCTCTTTATCTTTTTTTAAAGAAATATAGCAAAAATAAACTTTTATCAGTTTAAGTGGCATGCTGTTTTAGGGACTGAGATCTGGTTACCAACGGGTCTCTCTCTTCTTCCTCAGTGAGAAGGGTTTGGAGCTTAGCAATGAGCCCCTCAGGATATAAAGAAAGCATGACTGTGCTCAGAATCCTAGCTACTTGGGAGGCTGAGATCAAGAGGATCCTGATTAGAGGCCAGCCCCAGCAAATAGTTTTCGAGACCTCATCTTCAAGATGGCCAAAGCGAGGTAGACAGCTGTGGCTTAAGTGGTAGAGTACCCCCTTTACAAGTGTAAAGCCCTGAGTTCAAACCCCAGTCCCGCCAAAAAAAAAAAAAAGTGTGAGGATGACTTTGGGCTGTAGCTGTGATCCTTAAAAAGTCCTGCCATGCTAAATTGTCTTTTTTCTTTGTAAGATTTAAAAATACTCCCCTTTTTTTCCCCTCAAAAATTAGACAACAAGCCACATCCCAGTGACTCATACCTATAATCCTAGCTACAAGTGTAGTCTTGGGAGGCTGAGATCAGGAGGATCATGGTTCAAGACCAGCCTGGGCAAACAGTTAATGAGACCCCCCCCATCTCCAAAATAAGCAGAGCAAAATGGACTGGATGAATGGCTCAAGTGGTAGAGCACCTGCTTTACAAGCATGAAGTTCTGAGTTCAAACTCCAGTCCCACAAAAAAAAAAATAGACAATGTTTTGTTTAAAATTATTCTGTGATTTTTTTCATCTTCAAACAACAGCTCCATTTTACAGTTAGATTGAAAACCAACTTTTAAGATTCTTTCAGAGATTGTATCTTCTAGAGAGGGAAGTTTTGGGTTTTTTTGTAGTACTGGGGTTTGAACTCAGGGCCTACACCTTGAGCCACTCTACCAGCCCTTTTTTTTTGTTGTGATGGGTTTTTTCGAGATAGGGTTTCTCAAACTATTTGCCTGGGCTGGCTTTGAACCTTGATCCTCCTGATCTCTGCCTTTTAAGTAACTAGGATAACAGGTGTGAGTCACTGGTGCCTGGCAGATTTTCTTTTTTTTTTTTTTGGTGGTACTGGGGTTTGGACTCAGGGCCTCAGGCTTGCTAGGCAGGCACTCTACCACTTGAGCCACAGAGATGATGTCTTACAAACGCAGTTCCCCCTCCCTTACCCTTTAGACACGGCCATAGTTAATGACTCCTTTCTTTTTTCATTTTAAAACCTCTATCTATTGAATTCTCACTCTCAGCTGAGCTCTGTGCCAAGGGCTTATGCATTGACTCGAGCCATCACCTAGCAATCCTGTGCACTGAGTACAGTTGTTTTTTCTTTCTGTTCAGTAGTACTGGGGTTTAAACGGTAGGGCTTCATGCTTGAGAGGCAGGCGCTCTACCGTCTGTGCAGCTGGCATGACAGTCCCTGCCTTTTCTGCTTTGGCTGGCCTTGACCTTTGATCCTCTCAATCTCTGCCTCCTGAGTAGAATTGTTCTTATTTTTAGGAAGAGGAAACTGAGACTCAGAAAAGTTAAAAAAAAAAAAGAAGAAGAGAAAAAAAGTCAGGCACAGTATCACATGCCTGGAGTCCTAGCAACTTGGGAGGCTGAAGCAGGAGGGTCTTGAGTTCAAGGTCAGACTGGGCAACATAGTAAGAGTGTCTCAAAAGAAAAAAAAAAGAGGTGGAAGAAGATGAAGAAAAGAGACAAAAGAAGACAAGGAAAAGGAAAGCTAGATAACTTTGCAGGTAACATGCAGTTAGTGGGCCTCCGCCCTTTCAGAATTCAAATCCAGGGCTCACGACCTACCCCTCCCTCTGTGCCTTCGACTTTTCTGGGCAGCATTTTCCTTTGCTCTTCAACTTGAGTCAGAGTAGCCTGTACTTCTCTTCACAAAGACTGGCCTCCCTCACTTTATAGAAAACCTTAGCCTCTCTAAATGACTTAAAGTAATCCTGGGGTGATTTGCTCCCCCACCCCCCATCAAAGCACTGCTTTGATTTGGGTTCTCTAACACTGACATAAATCTATAAATTAAGGTTTTTGTGACGTGGTTTCCAGATGCCTTTAGCACATTCGCTTTGTACCCCTTTTTCTTGTAGAATTTAGCTCATTTTTTTTGGTTTAATATGTTATTTTAGCTTTTGAGGTTAACTAATAAGCCTCAAGTTCACAGACTCCTAACATTTTGGATGAGGAAGCACGTAAAGGATTTGTCCACCCAGCCCCATTACCAGATGGCCCAAAAGCGCAGCCAGTGGCTGTGGTCACCCGGGCTAGCAAACCGCAGAGCCTGGCGGGTGTTCAGGGAGAGACACAGCCTTAGTCACCCCACCTAAAACTTGGGATAATTTTTCTACTTTTGAGAAGCTGTCCCGAGAGTTCACAAATCAACAGGAGGTATCTTCTGAATGGGTGTTTTCCATTTTCTTTAACAAAAAGAAAAGAGAGTCATAGCAAATGGCAGCTGGCTGTGTTCTGACCATTTCCAGGGGTATCCCCAAGACACTCTGCTGTCACTACACTGTCGCCTAGGTATGGCCGATGTCCAGGACTGCCTTGATGACAGACTCCTGCCTGGGTCCTCAAAGAAGAGGGGCTGTAGACTGGCCTCCAGGTGTTCAAAAGGCCTATGTGAGGACTGGTAGAGTGGCTCAAGTGGTAGAGCACCTGCCTGGCAAGCACAAGGCCTTGAGTTCAAACCCCAGTGCTGCCAAAAACAAAGCAAAACAAAAACCACATCACAGTGTACTCCATAAATATGTGTAAGTATTATGTGTCAATTAAAAAAATAATAAAACTTTTTTTTAAAGCAACAGAACAGCAAAGGCGGATGGTTATGTTCAGCCCCCCCACTGAAAGCTGAACTGGCTTTCCGTGTGACATGACTTAGAGGCCAATCAGTGATAAATAGACAAGTGACAACCAGAGTTCTTTAAGTCATCTTTACCTGCCTTCCAAGTACCCACTTGGAGAGAACAAACTCCAAAGTGTATTTCCTAAAAAAAAATGATAAAGATTTGCTAATCAACTATAGATTGTTCCTTTCAAAAAAATTTTGATTGTTCTTTTCAAAAAAATTTTGTTTGGGTGGAACTGGGGCTTGAACTCAGGACTTTGCACTTGCAAAGCAGGTGCTCTACTGCTTGGAGCCACGCCTCCAGTCCATTTTGGAGATAGGGTCTCTTGAACTATTTGCCCTGGCAGGCCTCAAACCTTGATCCTCACATTCTCAGCCTCCCAAGAAGCTAGGATTGTGGTCCCTGAATGAAAATTATAATGCATCCGTTCTTTTTTACTATTCCTTAGTACTTAGGATAAATTAGCTCTTGGCTGAGCTTTCAGCCTTCATACTAATAACTGAATTCTCTAAACGAAAGGCATCCTTTTTTTTAACAGTATTGGGGTTTGAACTTGAGCCACTCTACCAGTCCTTTTTTGCGATGGTCTTTTTTCTAGATAGGGTCTCACTATTTGCCCAAGCTGGCCTCAAATCACAATCCTCCTGATCTCTGCTTCCTGAGCAGCTGGGATTACAGGCATGAGCCACTGGTGCCTGGCAACAGCATCCATTTTTGTTCCAGTGTAAACACCAGAATATGCCCACATTATTCTAGTGTATTTAATGAGATTGTTCTCATTTCTCACAGAACAGGACCACAATGAAGACAATCAATGAAAACCAGAAGATCTCATGTGACAGTTAAGAACACCAAGACCAGGCAGCAGAGGATAAGAGACATCAGGCTGCACAAATATGGATGACACTGATTTTTCAGAAGACACAACTTGCAAGCAACAGGAGGACTTGCCTTATGATGAAGATCTCTCCCAAATGAAGACATGCAATGATTACAATTTGACCTCAAGGAATGGCTTCCTTGATGTCTCAGGTCAAGTGATGCTAACAGGCAATGATCTTCATGGAAAGACTGCACAAAATGACACCTGCCCAAGCCCAGCAATGGCCCTGACTTGGGATAAAATTATTGAAAATACTGTCAACAAAAAACGTGATAGAGAGAAATGGTTTTCCAGGACTCACTTTCCAGCTAATAAAGGAGATTCTTCAAAGTCAAACATTTCTGATATTTTACTCCATCATCTTTCTGCACAGCAGTTCTTCAGAGGTCAAGGCATTGACTGTAGGACTCTCCCAGAGGCCTCTGCTGCTGACAGTGTGGACGAGGCAGCTGTTATTAAAAATATAATTTCACATTATGTTAAGAATTCATGGCCCAAAGAATCAACCCCAGAATTCAGGGAGCAACCAAACCCCAAAGGGGATGGTGAAGACAGCAATAATCCGAGTTGTTCTTCAAGCATGGTAGCAGGAAACACCTCTGGTCTAGAAGAGCCAGTGGCTACCAGAGAAAGTGGCCATCAAGTGAATTTCAACTTCCTGACTACAATCAAGGGTCCAAGTGATAAAGAAAAAGGTTGCCTAGGGCAGGCACCCCTGAAACAGCTGCCTGAAAAAGCAAGTTCAAGCAATGGGTTCAAAAATGACCAAGGGCAAGTTCAAAGCCAGCACCTGGATTTCTGTAAGGTCACTCCCCGAGTAAAAATCCCTAAAAACGCTGTAATTAATAAGCCACTCCTAATAGCTAAACAAGCTAGCTTTTCTCCTAAGTTGAGAAATCAATCAATGATTGGACAAGATATTTTAGATACAATGTCTAGGTCAAAATGTGTTGAAAAACAACATTTAGAACAGAAAAGGAAAATGACTGAATCTTCACAACAAATACAGGTAAGTGAGGATCATCTTCCATAAGTATTTACCTGAGCCGCTGCTTATCTTCATCAGGTGGGTTTGTGGGGGGTGCATGGAGCATGGTTCTAGTTCTGAGATTTCATTTGGCCCACTGGGTCACACCCTAGGCTAGTGACTTGGCCTCTCAGCAGTGTCCTCATAAGAATGGTGGCTCACATCTGTAATCCTAGGTACACAGGAGGCAGAGAGCAGGAGGATCTCAGTTCAAAACCAGCCCAGGCAAATGGTTCAAGAGACCCTATCTCGAAAAACCCATAAAGGGTTCCATAAGAAGATAAAATGCAAATTGCTCGAGCTGGAATTTGGGTCTCCCTATTTTTTTTTTTAAACTTCATCTAACCTTCAGCTCTGTCCCCTGGGGAGTCATTCTCAGTTCCCTGGCTGATTCTGAGCCTCTTTTCAGGCCCCAGATTCTCTGAATGCCTTCCTTGTGGAGACCATCCCATTCCAACTTACCAAAGACCTGCTTGTTCTTGTGGCTTGTTCAATTCCCCTCGGGCCACGTAATTTTTCAGTTGCCTCAAGTCACAATCTTTCCCATCCTTGCTTATTCAGCCTGCTTTGGATTCTAATAATTTGAATGTCTGTTTCTTCTACTAAACTTACTGACTCTTGAGGGCAACAACCTCGTCTTCAACACCCATATCCTGACTTCTCCAGAGGCCTGGCCTTGTATCTTACATGCATCATTCCCTCAGTGATCAATACTAAATGGAATCAAATCAACCTCTTTAATAACGTAATTCAAACTTATAAGCATTTAGTATAAAATTTCGATGACATTTAATTTATGTTATTTCTGCTCCCTCTTATCTTTTTCCCCCTATCCAACTTCCTGACATGCTGAGGCTAGGATCACATTTGCAGTTCAATAGTAAGGTAAATTCAGCTCAATAATCAAGTAAATATTTTACTTGACTACCTGGTCTTTATTTTAAGCCACCCCTCATTCTTTTGTTCTCTTCTCTTTTAACTGAACACTCTGGAAAATTTGAGCAGACCACCCCCTGCCCCCGACCCCCATGCCCTGCTGCAATACACACACACCTGAAAACAGCAGTCCACTTGACCATGACTGGGCTGTTTCTGTAAGCCTTGTAGGAATCCATGCTTCTGTGGTAGAGGTCTCAGGCTTTCTGTTCTGCTTGCAGGAGAGCACAGGAATTGTATCCAGTTTTCAGAGCCGCATGGTTAGTAGGAACAGAATGGATTCTTGGCTCATCTCTCTTGCAATGGGAGTTTAAGGTCAGGCTACCATCTTTTTTTCCCATCCCTGTCAATTCAGTTGGAGACCTAGACCCTATGGGTTTCAAACCATCCTATACTCAAGACATTCATGGTGGCCAGAGTCTGTCTTGCCCACTGCCATTTAGCTCCTGGCACTCGTTCATGTTTCAGAGCCTCGTGTGTTAGGAATGTCAGGAAGACCTCAAGGCAAATCACTCTAGAGAACTCTGTCTAGTCAGCCCATGGGAAGTAAAAAACAATCACTGTCTTGGTTTACCATAGGGTTGGTGTTCATGAGAGTACAGCAAGAAAGCTGGTGACAAGATCAATATTGGTCCTTGCCCTCATGAAGCTTGTGCTCTAGTTTAGGAGAAATATTGGGGCATTTCACATACTAGTATCAAACACGATTGTAACAGCAGCTAACATGTGCTGACTACTTCCTGCGTGCCTGAAATTATGGTGAATTTTTTTTTTTTTTTTGGTGGTACTGGGGTTTGAACTCTGGGCCTCATCCTTGGTAGGCAGGCTCTACCACCTGAGCAACTCCAGCCCTTTTTTTGTGTTGGGTATTTTTGAGATAGGATCTTGTGAACTATTTGCCTATGGCAGGCTTCAAACTGCCTGGTCCTCCTGATCTCTGCTTCCCAGGATTATAGGTGTGAACCACCTGTGCCCAGCTTATGGTGAAAGTTTAACAATCAATCCTCAAGCCTGATGAGGTAGATTCTATTACTATCCCTATTTCACCACCCAGAAACTTGAGGCTCACCATGAGGAGGCAATTAAATAAGTGTCAGAGTGGAATTCAGCCTCAGCATCATGACCCAGCACTGGGCTGACTCCATGATGGGCCAGAACGAATCAAGTCATTCTGAATAGTGGTAATTACTCCACAGTAATGTTTTCTTGTCTTCATGGATTTCTATGTCCAGTACTTAATAAAAATGTGATAAATTGAAATGAATTTTAGCCACAACCTATACGTTCCTGTTCAGCAGTAGAATCTGAGACAAGTTTCTTGAAGTTGACGTCCATCTCTTGGAAAGACCTTCCCTCAAGTTCTTCTTCCATATTTCAAAAGATATTCCAAGGGAAACAGATGTGCCAGAAGTTAAAAGAACAGACTGATCAACTGAAGACTAAGGCAATATTTTTAAACATTATAAATCCTAGAAGAAACGAAATTCAAACACAAGGTACTGTGCCACTAATGAAATACCACAATTTTTTTTCACTGCAGGTACAAGAATTTTCCAAAAGAATAAAACAGGACTCTCTCTGTCATTTGCAAGACAGAAGCATGGTAATGAATTTAATCCAATTTTTAAAATCTTTATTTGGGAATTTGACCTAGGCAAATACAAATGACTTCACAGCCCATGTTTTCTCTACAGTGTGGGGAGTGGTTGGAAATGTTTTGCTGAAGTTAAACCATCTTAGTTTCTGGGGCTAAATGAGCTTAGAATTCTGTTTCTATATTATTTAGCCCCTTTTCCTTCCAGGTGATCTATTACTACCCACCAATCACCTCATAATAAATCTGAGACCATAGTATGTTCCAGAGTCAAACATGTAGGCCATAGTTGATGGGTCCTGGTGGGTTTAGGTTGTAAAGAATGCTGGGATCTGGCAGTTCAATACTTTGTATTTCTATGGCTTTGAAAACTCTTAAAATCAGACTTGAAGCAATGCTTTTCACACCAAAATCTTTTATTTTCACATCCTTGCTTGTTATTTATTACATTTAATCAAACCATAAAGTTCATGTTATCACCATAGCAGCCTGTCATCAGTGCCAGGGTGGTGGGGAGTAGAAGTGGAGCAGTGGGGAGAACCACAAATGGGCCGAGTGGAAGGTATAGTTTGGGCCAGAAAGTCAACAAGGCAGGTGACCAGAAGGCCTGATGCAGGTGTGATTAAGGTTCAGTTGGACTGGGTTGCAGGAACCCCACAGTGTGGACAAGACTCAAGAGGACCCAGTTGAGAAAAGTCACAGTTGACCATTCCTACAGTTGACCACTCATCATATTAAATCATTCATTCATAAAACACTTACCAGGCATTTAAAAAGTGTCCCAGGCCCTGTCCCAGGCACTAGGGATTTAGAGATGAAGAAACACCTCCTTATCAAGTGCTTATCATCTGCTAGAAGCAATATTTTGGTGACCAGACCATCAAAACTTGAGCAATGTCACAGACAATGCTGGTGGAAGCCTAGGAGACACTCACTCTCACACTGAGGGAAGACTTTGGAAGGATTCCTGGAAGCCTTCTGCCTTGGGCATAGGAATAGGGGTGAGTTTGTCAGAGTAGATGCACAAGAATCTTCTAGAAAAAAGGAAACAGCAGGTGCAGTGGCATAGGGACAGGAAAATGCCACATTGTGAAGACCTGTATGGCCCTATAATTCACCAGACTGAGCTCGGAGTGGAAGAGGGAAGCTAGAGATGTGACGAGGACTACATTATGAAAGGCCTTGAAGCCAGGCTAAGGAGCTTAGATTTTATCCTGAGTTTGAGTGATGGACTGACACTGAGGGAATGACCTACAGGCAGGGACTGGTGAGGAGGCCACGGTCCAGGACAAGCTATGTAGCCTGCATGAAGGCTGGCAATGAGGATGAAGAGGGTGACAAATCTACGGTTGAAAGTAGTGGTGACAGATTGAAAGGGTGGATAAAGAAAGGGGGAAGGCTTGGATGCATTCTACATTTTGGGCTTGGATAACCAAGGCCAGGAATAAAAGTGGAGGATCCAGTTCAGAGAGTAGGTGTGGAGGGCAGGAGGAGGCAAGATGTCAAGTATAGTTTGGGACCATTTGAGTTTAAGGTCCCAATGGGACATCTAAGTGAGAACGTCCAGTGGACAGTTAGAGCAATGGATGTGGTTGTTGGAGGCATTTGGACCAGAAATGCAGATTTGACTATGGGTGGATGCGATTGCCCAGGCAAAACAGGCAGAGTGGTCAGGCCGCTGTTGGCTCACGCCTGTAATCCTAACTACTCAGGAGGCAGAGATCAGGAGGATCACATTTTGAAGCCAGCCAGGGCAAATAGTTCACAAGACCCTATCTCAAAAATACTGAACCCAAAAAAGGGCTGGTGGAGTGGCTCAAGGTGTGGGCCCTGAATTTAAGCCCCAGTACTGCAAAAAAAACAAACCAAAACAAAACAACCCCCGCCCCCCAAAAAAAACCAAACAGGGAGAGGGTCAAGGATAGACTCACTGACAGTAGCAATCAGAGGGCAGGGGAGAGAAAGAGGCCCTCAAAGGAGACTAAAGAAGAAAGACCCCAAGGGTCAGGAGCAGATCTGAAAGAGCAGAGTCATTGAAGCTAAGACAAAAGACAGTTTTAAGAAGGAGGGAAATGAACCACACCATCAAATTTTCAAATACGGAAGGAAAGCAAGATTGGCTTTTCATTGGTTTTGCCAATTGTGAGGTCATAAAAGTCCTTGGCAAGCCTAGTGTCAATGAGGTGGCAGTTGCAGAAGCCAACTGGAAGGGCCGAGGATAGACAGAGAGAGCACCAAAAGACCAGTATTTGAGGATCTGGGGGAACACAGAATTTGAAAGGGAACAGCAGAAGCAATTCAAGGCACACTGGCTTTCAGAGGCCTCGATTTAGGACATTTCTTCCTAACGGTTGAGGGTAAGTAGGGATTCCCATTGGGACTGAGAAGACAGTAAAGGCTCCAGACAGGGTCAGCCTGTGGTCTGAGACTTCCAAGCCCATTTGGGAGGAGGCCAGACAGGACTAAAACCAACCTTCTCCGTGTGAGCAGCACTACATACAGAGAGTGTTTGGATTTTGAGCAAGCATCCTACTTCTACTTATATGATCTTAGTCATGACAGTTATATGATCTTACACATGCTGTAGCCTGTCTTCCACCTCAGAGCTATACAAAGAATTAAATGAGATACACTTATGCCTAGAAAACTGTGCCCTATCTTTCAAGGTCCTGAATTAGAATTCATAACTGATTTTCATCTCTTCCTCTTTTCTTTCAACACTTAGTTCCTTCTCATGTCTTTAACTGCTATTTTCACAAAATTCCTAAACGATGGTCTTAACTTTCCATCGAAACTCCCAGTGTTTGCCTGTCTTCACGTGGATGGCCCGCTCTCGCTGCAAAGGTGTCTCACACTGACATCTCCCTAACCCTGTTTGCCTCCCCAATTCCTCATTTTATCTATCACATACTTTCTACCTCCCAAGGTAGAAACTCCAGGACTGTCTGAGATTTATAGCATCAGTCAGGGCCCTGGCAGAGACCAATGGCTGACTCGAATGATGTAACTGAGGAGAGTGTAGTAAAGGCATTCTTTAACGACAGTGTGGCAAGGTGAAGGGAAACCAGTAAAGGATGGAAAAGCATCTCATGGGAGGACTGTAGGAAGCTGCTTCACCCTCAAGCTGGAAGGAACAGAGGAAAAGCAGGCCCTGGAGCTTAAGGGAAGTAGCTGCAGCTGTAGGAATAGCTGATGAGCTCTGTGGCTTTGTAGAAGGACATAGCCAACCCACAATGACACAGGATGGAGGGAATTAGAGAAATACAGATTCCTACCTCATCCTACTCCAACCTCTCTTCTGCCAATGCCTTCCACTGGCTGGGAACAACTGAAGCCAAGGCAGAAGGGGGTCTAGAGATGCAGCACAGAGAAAGATGGAGGATAAACATGGGGAGAATGTGAAAACATCCACCAGACTCACCATGTCTACACCCTATAGCCAATATAGGATTCCAAGTTCCTCTTTATTCTTTTTTTTTTTTTTTGGTGGTACTGGGATTTGAACTCAGGGCCTTTCACTTGCTAGGCAGGTGCTCTACCACTTGTGCCACTCCCCCAGCCCTTGTTTTTTCTTTTAAAATATTAATAAGAATGTATAACAGCAGCTACCATCTATAGAGTGGGGAAAGATGGTACCTGACAGATGGCTCAACTTAACAAGTTTTTAACTTTCAAATGATTAAAAGTGACATGCATTCAGCTGAATTTTGATCATTTTCTGGGCTGGTGACATGCAGTATGGCTCTTTCTTGAGATGCCAGGCAGTAGAGTGAGCTGTAGCTCCTACTCAGCCATGCCATTGTGAAGGCAAACCACCAATACTATTCTCCAGTAGACTGGGTTGTTCAACAAGTCACATGAGCTATCCAACACTTTATTTAATAAAATAGGCGGTGTATGAGATGATTTGGCTCCACTGTAGGCTCATGTAAGTATTCCAAGCTTATTTATGGTAAGCTAGGTTAAGCTCTGATGTGTTAAATGCATCCTACTTCTGACATTTTCAATTTACAGTGACTTCATTGGGATGTAACTTCATTGTGGCAGAGAAGCACTGGTACTGTCCTCCTGGCACAATGATCTCATTTAATTTTCACAGTATGAGGTGAGAGCTATTATATTCATTTTACAGATGAGAAACTGAAGTATACAGCATTCAAGTTGGCTAAAGTCCTTCAATTAGTAAGACACAGAGTCTGAACTTGAACCCCATGTATCTGGTCTTGTAATCCCACTGTGCCATATTCCTGCCTTTGGCAATATCTCTCTAATCCCTCCCTTACTGTCTGGGCCTTCCTGAGCACGCTCCTGACTTAAGTCTCACTCCTTCCGTTGGACTTTGGAAGAACAGCCTAATCTGCATTCTGTTTGCTCAATAAGGAATAAAACCCATTAGACCAGAGACTGCCTGCTACAATTTTTGTATCTCACACTTCTGGTCTAGGGACAGATAAAGGCAGGGTCAAGGAATGTTAGTAACCAGGGATGTGAGGCTGGAGACTCTGTCCATCTTCAAGACAAATGAAACTGATCTTCACAGCCTGAACATCCATCTGCACAAGGCTGCCTATGGTGACATCCAGAAGACCCATTCACTGCTCTGGCTAAATCTTCCTGCTTTCCTTCCCCACCTCACCCTCCAACCACCATGGGCTCAAACCAAGGCCCTCTGTCTTCCATTCCTTCTTGAGATTTATGTGGCTTCAGACATACTTCCCATTGCTCCAGTTTTCTCCTGTACAAAACTGGGAGAATGAAGTGAAAATCATTCTGCAAGTAAACTGCTTATGACTGTCCCCCTCAGGAAGTCCAGAGGCCTCTAGGTGCATCCTTCTGAGGGATAAATCAGAAGTAACTGTGTCAACCATGTGATAGGAGAGTGTTGGCATGTTGAGATCATTCTTGGGCTGTTTATATTTTAGACATCAGACTCAGACAACAAGTGGTGCGGCCAGAAGATGGGAGCGCCATTTTGACACTGCTGTAGAGACACTTACAGTGTTTTGGGGAAAAGCAATGCCACACACAGGCTTACCTGTGAATGATACACTGCTACGGGTCCTGGAGCGACTTCAAGGACACCTTGAAGTCCTGGAACAGGATTTTGTCCCCACCAGGGAGAAGCATCTGGCCTTGAAGCAGCAAGTCCTCAAGCATGAATCCCCAGCTTTGGGTAACTTTGATCCTGAAAGGGAGGTTTAAACCAACTGCAAGGTGGCCAAAGGTTATCTCCTTCAGGTGGGATTTTGAAGTAGCAACTGGCTTAGTACTTGGAGAGTCACTGTCTAGATTCAGCAAAAACTGTGTCACCTGTGAGAAAGATGTCATTTGATGCTGCAATGATCTGTAAACCTTGAGCTCTGAGCTGGGCACTGACCTAGATGGAGCAGCCAAAATGAAAGTTGTGTCCTGGAACAGAGGTATTGTGCCACCATTTTGAAGTTGGTTGGGTGTTATTTTAATGGGTTCTGAAACCCAGAGGAACAGACAGAAGAAAACCCCAGAAAAGTTGAGGGCCTTCTCCTCTCCCCTCCTCAGTTCTTTCCTTTCCTTATTCTCTCACTCCCTGCCTGGTGTAGCTGTCTGGCTCTTTTCTCCTGTCTCTCTTTTTTCCCCATTTTGTTCCTATCCACTGACAATTTGGAAAGGTAGTTGTCAGGAAAGGATCATTGTGGAGTTGATTTGTGGTGAGGTGAGAGACCCACCAATCCTAAAAAAGGAAAAAATGTTAAAATTTGAAGCTCAATGATTCCTGAGTTAATTCACTCTTGTTCTTATGGAATCATTTTCTTCTCTCTCCACTCCAAATAATTTTAAGAACTCCAGGCTAAAATTGTTTCCACTTAATTTCCTGGTATGAATTGAAGGAATCCATTGAGTAGGCTTTATCATTGTAAAATTCAGCTCTCTTGACTCATAGCATTTTAACACAGAATCATTCTTGATGCCAAAACTTTGTAATGATTTATGTTTCAGAACTAGCATCTTGAGATATTTTTCCCTGAGGTAGAGTTTTACTTTTTTACAGATGAATAGGACCTCTGTCTACCTTTATTTCAGTGCTGGGTAATTAGACAGCAGGGAGGGGGTTTTAATATCAATTTTTTCCCAAATACTTATTTTTTTTCCCTGTAGGGGGAAAAAGATCTATACATTTCTTTTCTTCTTCTTCTTCTCCTTCTCCTTCCTTCTTCCCTCTCCTCCTCCTCCTTCCTTCTTCTCTATTCTTCTCTCTTCTTCCTTTTTTCTCCTCCTCCTCCTTTCTTCTTCCTTCTTCCTCCTCCTTCCTTCTTCCTTCTTCTCTAATTAATGGAGTAAGTATATTTGTTTCCAAAGAATCTCTACTTTGGGAAGTCATGTTTAAGAGAGGCCTCTGTGCACATCGAGACCACAGTTATGCAATGCTTATTTATATCCTGGTTCCAACCACACTCTGCCTGGCATGAGTATAAATCAAAAGGGTTTTAACTGCAATTATATCCCATATACGGGAGAAAAAAGCTTTCAACACTGGGGCAAGGGAGGGTCCGGCCTCTCCCAAAACTCACTTAAAGCCACCTCAGGACAAGCTTGGCTGATCAGCTCAAGACAGGGCTAACATGACACAGAGCAGAATCCTGTAAGACCTCTCTGGTCTTTTCTTATGTCGTGCCTCTTTTTGATTGAATGTGATTAATAGAATTTATGTTTTTCCCAGAAACTTGCCCATTTCACCTAGATTTTAAATTATGTTAGTATGAAATTGTTCAGTCCATTTTGATTTAATTGTTTTTGGTGGTACTGGGATTTGAACTCAGGGCCTCATGCTTACTAGGCAGGCACTCTAGCACTTGAGCCATGACCCCAGTCCCCTTTCTCATTTTTAATGTTGTTTATGCTTCTAAGTCAGAATTTCCAGTGATTTATTTTGCATATTTTTGCAAAAATATGTTTTATTAATCAAGTTCTTTCAAATTTCATATATTCTTACTTTTATGAATCCCTTCTTTTTCCTAGATTTATTTTATACACTACTCCTGTTTTAAATAATTTTTAAATTTTTCTCCTAATCATGCATTTTTTTTTTTTAATGACTGTAGGGCTGGGGTTGTCACTCAGTGGTAGAGTGTTAGCACACACAATGTCCTAGTTCAATCCCCAGCACCAAAAAACAAAACAAAACAAAAACAAAAACAAAAATAAAACTAAGCTGGGATTAAGGGCACAAGTCTGAAATCAATGTGGGAGGATCCCTTGAGGCCAGGATTTGGGGCTACCTGGGCAATAAAATGAAACCCTATCCCTTAAAAAAAAAAAATCAAACAAAATAACTATGAATGTTCCTCAGAGTACTGCTTTAACTCATATAATTTGTTTTCATATGTTCTTTCATCATCCACTAGTAAACTATCCCTAATTTCCATTTTTCTTTCCTGTTTAACCCAATTATATGAACTTGGATAAATGGTATTATACACACATAAACATATATTCATAACAAGCTTGTTAATTAAATTATTTGCATATTTTATGTTCTCTGTCATTTTAAATTTCTTGAAAATTATTTCCATGGATTACATGTCCTAAAATCCTAAGAGTCCTTGACATCATCAGATCCAGATAAGCAAGGTATTGTTACCCAAGCTCTAGCTGAGGCAGAGAAAGCCCAGAAAGATGAAGTCATTTACCAAATGACGCACAGCTAGTGGATGGCAAATGAAGATTAGAACCCAGGACTTTGGAACGAGACCATAGAGAGGACGCCAGTCAGTGCAGGCGTGTCTAAGATGGGCCACATTAGTGACACACCTGTGTGCCATACTCAAGAACTGAGTCGGTAGAAGATGCCTCTTTGTTGTGTTTACTCAGAGAAGTGGAAGGTAGATCTTCAGGTTGGAGATGCTGCTTGAAGGTATTAAAGAGAAAACTGAGGAAAGCAGGTGCACCTCTGTTCTCTCTCCTCCCATGAATCCTCTAGTCATCCCAGATGACTGTATTCTCTTCACCCTCAAATGAGGTGATAAGGCCACCTGCAGCCTAATTTTGTGCCAGGAAAGGTGGCTTTTATGTGTAGGTGGACTCCTAATTTGTGGATTCACTGAATTCTATTTTAATATTTCATGAAAACAACCTTTCAAAGTCTCATGCATCTTACTATTTAAAATGGAACCTTCCTTTAATAATCAGAAGCTATTTCAAGCACTGACTTTTGAAACATCCCATTAGTTTAGGATGTAACAGCACAGTTTAAAATGACAGGCCACCGAAGAGCTATTTCTTCTGGGTGAATGACAAAACTTTTGCAGGTTGTGCCCGGAAAACATTCTTTTCTGAATAGTTTTGTACCATGTCTTCTAAGTACGGAATCGCACGCTTGGTGGAGTAATTCTTTCCTCTGAGCCCATTTTTGCATTTTCTGTCTCAAGTGAAGTTCTTTTGGGTGGCACATACAGGATTGGGAATTTGATCAATCACCATTGTCTTTCTGCACTTTTTGTTTTTGTAACCTCGTTAGAACATTTCAGACTAAATTAAGATTCTGAGACTCTGAATCATCTAAATAATTGCCTGAAATTGACTCTAATTTCATGCGGTATTTGAAGACACAGCCTGGGGCTGGAATGCAAAACTTGAATGAGATTTTTTTCAGAGTTAAGGACGAGATGAAAAATTATATAAATACTAGTTCTTCCAAAGAAGTGGGTCTACCTCCTCCAAACCCGTTGCTGCCCAGCAAAATCTTATGCATGGAGGCCCAGTTTCAGGTCTGAACCTGAATTAGCTTCAAGGTGGCACGAGGGGCTTGGTGACTCAGAATGCCATCCACCCATCGGCTGCCTCAGGTCTGGATTTGCTCTTCCCAAGTTTACAGCAACTATTGTGAAATGAGGGAAACTTGGTAATGACTGGGCTGGTGGAGTGGCTCACGTAGTAGAGTGCCTGCCTGTCAAGCATGAGGCCCTGAGTTCAAACTCCAGTACCGCCAAAATAATGATAATGAAAATAAAATAACTTTCTAGTGAATAGCCCTGAAGAGACTCTACTGTTAGTATTTTTTATTCATTCACATAGCAATTATTGCTAGATCCTTTTCTAGGTATTGGGGACACACATAAGCGAGGCAGATACATCTCACTCGACTCGAGTTACTTAAACATCAGCTGGGCGCCAGTGGCTCACACCTGTAATCCTAGCTACTTGGGAGGCAGAGATCAGGAGGACTGTGGTTCATGAGACCCTATCTTGAAAATACCCAGCACAAAAAAGGGCTGGGGGTCTTAGCTCAAGTGGTAGAGTGCCTGCCTAGCAAGTGTGAGGCCCTGAGTTCAAACCCCAGTACTGCTGAGGGAGACATACTGTTTTTTAATTAGCATACATTAATAGCACAAGTGTGTCTCATTGTGACAGTTCCTTAGATGTATACAGTGTACTTTGAACCAGGTCACCCCTCTACTATATTTCCTCAGCCTTCCTCTCCTTCCCCCTTTTCTAACAGAATTCAGTGGGTTTCATTATGCTATAGCCGTATGAATTCAGAGGCAGATGCAGTCTCTCTCTTTCTCTCTTTTTTGGTACTGGGGTTTGACTCAGGGCCTTAAGCTTACTAGGAAGGCCCTCTACTTGAGCCATTCCACCAGTCTGAGACACAGTCTTGATCAGAGTTGAAGCATGAGCAGGGCATGGTGGTACATATCTGTAATCCCAGCACTTGGGAAGCTGCGGGAGGAGGATTCAGAATTTGTGGACAGCCTTGGCACATACTGAGACCCTATCTCAAAGAGCAGAACAAGTAAAACCGAACAAAGAGGAAATGTGATTACAGAATATTAAAACTGCTGTGCAGGAAGCAATGACACATCCTTCATGGCCCTGAAGCCAGGCTGCCTTGGGTCCAAATACCGACTTGGTCACTTGTCAGCTCTGGGATCTTGGTAAAGTTATGCAACTCCTCTGTACCTCAGTTCTCTCCTCTGCAAAATGGGGCTACTGATGCCTGTGTGACAGAGTTGTTAGGACTCTCAACTGACTTCGTATGTGTGAGGTGCTTAAACAGGGCCTGGCTCCCAACAAGCACATCACCGGTGTCAGCTGTCATGCCTATTAAGGAGAGGGGACATGTGGGAGGGCAGCAGCACTAAGTGGGAGAGGTGGGAGGTGACATCTGAACAGAGCTTGGATGATGAAGGAGCTCAAGGCCGCCAGTTCCGGTGACCGAGGGTGGCATGGGTGCTGACCTGTTTTGTCACCTCTCATGGAACAGCAGTCCTAAGGGCTGGCCTTCTGTGTGCTCTCCAGGTGACCCAGGAGTGCGGGGCGCCGCAAGAGGAGCCGGACTGGCACACGTGAGTCGAACCTGGAGAGGGAGGAGGGAAGGAGGAGGGGAGAGGGAGGAGGAGGGGGGAGGGGGAGGGGAGGGAAGTGGGGGGGGGACAAAGCTGATCACATGACCGTCTGCCCCAAGGCGCCTTTGCTGCTCCCCATCCGCAGTCCCGGGGCGCCAAGTGAGGTGCCCAAGGCCTCTTCTCCAGAGTCACAGGCTAGCGACAAGTCAGGTGGTCCCCCACATGGCTCCCAGCTGGCCCAAGAGCTGATGTCAAAATGCAAACTTTTTTTTTTCTTTTTAAATCTATTTACCTAAATAGTAGGGATGCCAAGGACCAGACAGATGAAAGGCCTTGAGGCTGTCTTCTGGTTCCAGGGTGACACTGGCTCTGTTCTGGTCATTCTGTGACTCTTTAATTGCATTCCATGTTGTTGAAGGGATGTGACTGAACTTGGCCTCAGGGAGATCGTCCGGCTTTCCTTTGTGTGCTGGGGATCGAACCCAGGCTCCCTTTCCCCTGGACAAGCACTCTGCTACTGAGCTGCCCCCAGCCTGGTGCCTGTGCCAGGGCTGCTCTGCTACAGGTTCCCACTGTTCGGCTCCCTGGAGAAACTGGGTTGGGGCGCCCGGACCTAGACCCCAGCTTCTCCAACTTCACCATACCCAGGAATCATCCACAGACTGACTGAGTTAAAATGCAGGCTCCAGTGCAGCAGGTCGGGGTGAGCCTGCACTTCTGTGTTTCTAGCAAGCTGCCAGGTGGTGACAGTGGCCTGGCTCTTGTCTGGATAGCACCCTTTGGTACCAAGGATCTAGAGATTTCATTAAGAGTGAATTGAAAATACTGGGATTAAGTACTCACAGGTGTAAAGTGAGAACAATATTAAAATAAGCAGTACACAACCACTTAATAATTCTGTTGGTTCAGAGCTTCAGTAAACAAAGATGTTTTGCAGAAGAGGAATAGCATAGAAAAGTGACTTGCCAGGACAAATGACAGGATAGCTGTGAAAGCCCAGGTCTCCCAACTCCATGGACGACATCTCCATTCTGCTCATGAAAGTTTGCTTGCAATGTCAAGTGCAGGGGTAACCCTGAAAACTTAGCAGCAATAAAAGAAAATACAAAGAAATGAAGGGGAAACCATTTTTTTTTAATTATAAATGTGATCAATATTTACTGCCAAAGAAATCAGAAAATAGCCAGGAGGAGCAGCACACACCTGTAATTCCAGCTAGTTGGGAGGCAGAGGCAAGAGAATGTTGAGTTTCAGGCTAACCTGTGTAAAGCTAACTAAAAGACCCTTATCTCAAAAACAAATAGAAAAAAACTCAAATAAACACAAAGGGCTGGAGGTGTGCCTCAAGCAGTAAAAACAAATTCTCTGAGAAAAATCATTGCTAACATTTTAGTGTATATCCCTCAAGAGTTCTCCCCGCCCATAAACATTTTTACAAAAATGTAATTATAGTATACATTGTTTTAGGATCCACGTTTTCACTGCACATATCGTGGACATGTCTCCACATCACTTGGAATAAACCTGCAGCTTCCTTCCAATGGGCTTTTACAGTAACGTACACACCTCTGCCCCACTTCCTGTACGGGCGTTGTCAGGCTATACTCGTTATGTGGACGAGCCCTGTTTCATTTAAACGATCTCTTATTGAACACTAGGTTTTCACCCCAGTTCTTCAATATTATAAACATGGCTTCAGGTAACATTTTGTGTGTGTGTGGGGGGAGGCAGGAATGGGGTTTGAACTCAGGGCTTCCTGCATTCAAAACAGGTGCTCTACCACTTGAGCCACTTCTCCAGTCCATTTTGCTGTGGTTATTTTGAAGATGGGGTCTTGAGAACTATTTGCCCACGTTGGCCTCAAACCATGATTCTCCGGACATCAGCCTCCAAGTAGCCAGGATTATAAGCATGAGCCACTGGCACCTGGCTCAAGTAACATCATTTTCCTTGCAAACTTTTGTCTAAATAATAATAAATCCTTAGCATTGTGGTTAATGGTTTAAATGGTGCACACTGAACATTTGGATGAAATGGCTTTAGAAGGGGGACACAGTTTGTAGGTGCTCCCCCTCCCCCTCATGAAGATATCCCACCTGGATATATTTTCCTCCAACCTTTGCTGCCCTGGAGAGTGAAACCTGCTGCACTATTGCTTTAATCTGTGCCTATTGTGAAATCTCATCAATCTTCTTTTGTTTCTTGGCCATTTGCTCTTTTTTTGACAACATCAACATTTTTAACTTATGCTTGCCAAACTAAAACCACAGCCAATTTTTTCTTTCTGAAGACAGCTGGGAAAATGTGAAGAGCAAATAATGTTCAGTGTTGAAATCTTTATTCTATCCCAGTGCTCTGACAAATGCACAAAGGAGCAGAGCTGAGGTTAAGAACACAAGTGTATGAGTCACAGGGTGAGGGCGCACAGCTTAGCCACTTGCTCTCTGTGTGACCTGGCCAACTTCTGAAATTCCCCGAGCCTCAGATAATTCGCCATTGATGGAGATGTGGCAGGATGGCTGGAGATAATAGAGAGACTATATGAGAAGCACCTGGAATTATAATAAGCAATGAACAAACACTCTAGTTGTTTCTATCAATAAAATTACTTGCCAGGTGCCAATGGCTCATGCCTATAATTCTATCTATTCAGGAGGCAGAGATCAGGAGGATCACTGTTCGAAGCCAGCCCAGGTAAATAGTTCTGTGAGACCCTATCTCAAAAAACCCTTCACAAAAATAGGGCTGGTGGAGTGGCTCAAGGCGAAGGCCCTGAGTTCAAGCCCCAGTACTGCAAAAGTAAATAAATAAATAAAAATTACTAAAGCACTCCAAAAATTAATGGGCAAAGGAAAAGAACTAAAAAGTCGTGTGTTAGAAATACAACCAATAAGTAAGCATATGGGAATGCTTACCTCCACTAACCACAGAACAGAGTCTAAGAATACAAACTGCCACCCCCTTTCAATGGACCAAGAGAGTTTCTCCTGGTACCCCATGTTGTGGGGTGTTGAAGTAGTCTGTGCAACTCACCACACACACTCGCTGGAACTCTTTGGCCTAGACGTTTGCCAGGAAGTAATTCACACTGTGGAAAAGCGTGTGTTGGGGACGGTTATGCACACTGTTTGCACTGGGCGAAGGGTACATTCATTTTCTGTTTACAGAAGGAGTAAGGCCATCGTGGAAATGCATGGCGGGTGGTGTCAGTCCCTCCCGTTCAGTACAGAATCAATCATTTAGGGCTCCAGGCAATCCCTAAACCTTGTTTTACTTCACAGTAGAATACATTTCTTTGAAAAAGCTTGTAGGGCTTTACCAACTAGTGGTCAGAGTGATAGATTTAAAAATTATCTTCTGGGCTGGGGATGGAGCTATATGCAAAGGCCCTGTGTTCAGTCCCCAGCACTGAATTAAAAAAAAAAACTTCCGGAATCCGTTCATCCTCTGCTGGAGTAATCTGAAAGTAAGAGGAGAGGAAGGCAAAGTACATTCTCCTCTGTACCCCAGGTTTCAAACTGTTTGGGGAGGAAAGGAGCCCGGGCAGGACTGAAGCTTCCTTTCTGGCAGCCAGGCCCCGAGAGGCTCAGACTACACCAGCACATCAGAAACAAGCCTGGACTCTGTCTCTTCCCCTGGTCCCCTGGGCCTCCGCCTCCCCACCTGTAAGAGACGCTTGGCCACTGTTTCTGGTCCTGATGTGGCAAGTTCAGCTGGGTCTGAGCTGTGTGCTGGGCTGTGCGCCTGCAGCCTCAGGGATAGGCATGTCCTCCATCCCACCCACTTGTGTGCTTAGTGGTGCAGGAATTACTGCTGGCACCTTGGGAAGGCAGTGGGATGCTGTGCCTTCTGCTGCCAGCCCCTTGGATGGTGAGGGTTTCTTGCAGCTACATCCCCACCGGGTGGGAGGCGGTCATGGGACAGTAAGTCCAGCGACCATGGGCTACAACTAGCCCAAACCACTGGCCAGCTATAGGAGCACAGATCTCAGCTTACAAATCCGGGTGCAGTGGTCCTGTACCTGGGAGAACATCACATCCAGGGAAGTTCTAAGATAATGCACAGGCCTCCAGCCCACCTACGGTACCAGCATCCTAGGAGTTGCGCTCTGGTAGGAATTGTGCCTTTAAATCTCGCCAGGTGGTTGGGCCCTTGGTGCAGAATCAGTCACAGCACACCAAGGGTGGACACAGGGCTGTTTGAACATTGCCCAAATGGGGCAATTATTAACCACCATTGTAGACCACTCCCACTGTCATCGCTGTCACTCTGGGGAGCAAAAGTCTTCCAGGTTGGGTGCCACCTGTGCCCTTTGTAGCTTCTATCAGTGAGAGGTTGGCTGGTTTCCATTTGCAAGGTCAAGAGTCAAGGAGGGAGGAGCTGTTTCTGTAGGTAATGCACTCTAATAGGACAAGGTCTGAAAGACTCAAATTTCCGGTTAGGAAGCACTCCACCACAGGAACTGGCATTTGTCCTAAGTGCTTTATTGACTTTCTGCTCCTAAAAAAAAGAAACAGCTAAAAGTGACTGTGTGTCATCTGGTGTGGATCATTACCTCAATCCCCACAGCGGTCTTTGAGCTCCTTTTAAAATTTTTTTAATTTTCGTATTGTCTTTGCACTGGGGGGTACATTGTGGCATTTACAAAAGTTCTTATGATATATTTAGTTGAATTCACCCCCTCCTCTGATTTTTAGAATAGTTTCCTGAGGTCTCATTTTTCCATTTTCACACGAGTACACAATATTTCCATCATACTCACCCTCCTACACCCTTTCCTGATATCTTCTCCCCTCCCACTGGTACAACCCCCAGACAGGACCTGTTTTATGTTCCTGCCTTCTGTTTGAGCATTCCTTTAAATACAAGGGCACCAATGACATTTACTCACTGAATTGGCCCAGGTTTACTATCTTTATTTATTGAATTAAAGTCCAGGTTTTGAATTAAAAAAAAAACACACTTTTTTTTTGCTGGTGGAGTGGGTCAAGTGGTAGAGCACCTGCCTAGCAAGCCTGAGGCTCTGAGTTCAAACCCAGTACAGCCAAAAAAAAGTAGTTTTTGAATTCAGGGCCTCAGGCTTGCTAAGCAGGCACTCTACATTTGAGCCACTCCACCAGCCCTAACAAAGGTTTTAAGTATAATGAAAATATTTTGACATTTGAAACATTGAAGGTAATAGTTGCTTCTCTTCCAAGTTCCTAGTCTTAGAGCCACACAAGTACCTCAACAGGGATCAATGTTCCAGACTAAATGTGTTTTTGGAATGGCCAAGATGGAAAGAAAAGCACAAGCAAGTGTAAAATCAAACAGTGCACCTACTTCGGGGGCGCGCCGTCTTAGGAACTGAGGTCATAAACTGCATGACCCCAGGAACTGTTAATTGAAGGGGGAATTCTGATAGAAGGTATCTCTCTGATGGGATATATTCTTTTAACGTTTGCTGATATACAAATTGTAATTTATCTAAATGTGTGTTAAATGAAAAACGCAAACCACTGAATCTAAAGTCCACTTTAGCTATTTGCGGAAACACTGCCTTCTCTGATAGAATTGCCCTTGGCCAGTGATGGTTGGCCCGAAGATTTTTGTGCACAAAGAAATTTAAAAGAAGCAGAATTTAAGTCCTGTGCTGGGCTACACACACTTGAGTGCAGTCCAAGTTTTCCACTTTGCAGAACAGATGTTCAAATGCCCCAGAGGCGGAGGGTGGAGACAGAAAATGAGGTGTGTGTGACTTGTGTGACTCAGAGGACAGCATGTTTTTCCAACAGGAGGAAGAGGGCCTGGCTTTCCAGCCCCAGCCCCAGGAACCCCAAGCCCAAACAGGTTTCCCCCTCTACCAGCAGCAGGCCCAGGCCAGCTGGATGTGCACGCATTTGCTCAGAGCGATCACTCACTTGTGCCAGGGCACCCTGGGCACAGCGCCCTCCACGCTACGAATGCACGATCTCTCCTGGGAGCTGTTCCTGTATCCCAGGGGCCAAGCAGGAGCTTTGCTGAGAAGTGTTATCAGTTAGAATTTCTTCAGAGGAGTTAGGAGCTGTGTGAAGGAGGGAGGCAGAAACTGACATGTCAGACATCATCTGATAAATGATCATTGTGGTTCCCGCTCTCTGATGCCCCCTGGTGGCCTTGCATAACTAAGGTCAGCTCCACAGGCTCCCACAGCTTTTAGCCCCATGGACACCTACCAAACCCACTTTGCAAGACTTCCTGGATACTTTCAGCTTGTACTCACAGAGCCAAAGCCAGGTGACCCAGCACTGCGGTGCAACATGGTTTCTTCCCAAGAACTGATTTTGAGAGAAAAAGGAGGAAATGGCAATTTTTGTAATTCCATACTGTAATTTTCTATTTTGTGTATTTGTGTATGATGATTAGGTATTAGTCTCAGAATAAATTATATTTTTAATCTTGGATATAAGAAATTTAACATTTCAGGTTGACCCTGATATTTTCCCTACGTGTTAGAAATGTACTAAAAGCTTATGTGATTTTTTTTTTCTTTTGGAGGTACTGGGGTTTGAACTCAGGGCCTTGTGTTTGCAAGAAAGGTGTTCTATCACTTGGGCCACAACCCGAGCCCTTTTTGGCTTCAGTTATTTTTTTGGCTAGGGTCTGACATTTTTGCCTGGGACCATGACACGCCTATCTATGCTTCCTGTATTGAGCTGGGATCACAGCATGTACCACCATGACTGGCTTATTTTGTTGACACAGGGGTCTAGCTTTTTATCAAGGCTAGCCTCTATCTGGGATGTTCCCCATCTTTGCCTCTTTAGTAGTCGGGATTACAGGAGTGAACCACTGTGCTCGGCCCTTATGGGATCTTATTTGTCTTTTTTAGGAAGCAAAACATGGAGGAAAAAGACCACAGAAGGAACTGTGGAAGATTTTTATCTGTCATTCACAAAAAGGGACTGTACCAAGATTCATCTCCTGGTAAGTTGAGGACCATGGGTAGTCAGTCTTCAGGGTCCCTTTCGTGGAGTCTACCCCCAGTGAGTCCCAGCTGCTCTCTGACTCCAACAGTATCACACAACAGTAGGGAGTTGTAGGTTTTGTTTTTCAAAATGTAAAGAATGGACTAGATTTAAATAAGATGTAGTTAGGGGGAAGTGCCACTACCTGTTTCTAGCTGGAATTGTAGGACTCCATGGACCTGGTCAGGTGGTGTCCTCAATTTGTCCATCATCAGAACCTTTCTCCAGAGAAACATCCCTGGTGAACTGCCCTTGGTGAAGCTGAGGAGGGGCCAGCGGCCTGCCTGCTCAGGCAGATCCTGAACTTAAAGTCACTGCTGGAACCAAAGTCCTCCTAGCTCAGCCTAGGAGGAAACTGGAGGCTGGAGAGCCACATGGCTGGCTTATGTTCTTGTTCCTTATTGCCTGGAGCCTTACCTTCCGCTCAGCATCCTGCCAGGGCACTTAGTTCTAAGTTGGCCTTTCTGTCGATGGTACATTTTCAACTGCGCTGGATGCTTGGGACAGTTTTCACGGGTTTGCAAGCCCCTGGGGCTCCCTGAAGGGGACCATGAGCTCCTCTCCTTTTCTAGCAAGGCTAATATTGCATCAGATCGAGAGGTAGTCATGAACTCCAGCTGCTTGCTAGGAAGCCAGATAAAGATACTCTCCAAGACATAAAATAATGGTATTCTCATTTTTTTTACATTGGAAAATATGGATTTCATTAAAAACATTTTATTAATGAGATGATTTTTAAAATTTTTTAAACAGGGTCTTGCTAGGCTGTCCAGGCTGGTCCCAAACTCCTGGGCTCAAGTGACCCTCCTGCCTCAGCTCCCACCACCACACCCAGCTTGTTGTTGCTATTATTGGTGATGCTGAGGAATGAATTCAGGGCCTCACACATGCTAAGCAAGTGCTCTGCCACTGAACTAGACTTTCAGTTCTCGTTATTTTTTAAATGACAGACCACAAAGTTTTTTAAATGTCTCAGTTAAACAAAACAAACAAAAAATTTTGTCTCAGAACTGTCCATTCAGTCTTAGGAAGATCTGAATATAGAAATGTTTTGCAATTTATATTTCAAGATGTATCTTTCAACCCATCTGTAGCTGACGGTTGTAAGATAGTTCTCTAATTCAGTGTGAAACTTTTTATCTTAGGTAGATAAAATGGTGTATATGGTGTAAGTAAAATGGAATATATACATATACATGTGTGTGTGTACATATGTGTGTGTACATATATATATATATATATATGATGATATTGGGTAGATAAAACCCACCAAAAACCCCCACCAAGATCTTTAGGATCCTCAATTTTAAGAGTGTAAAGGGTTCTGAAATCAAAAGTTTGAGAACAACTGATATAGTGTGTATCACTTAATTATTATAACACCCCTTAAAGTAGGAATTATTACTTGTATTTTATAGAGCAGGAAATGGAAGTGTGGAGAAATTCAGTGACTTGCCAAGGTCAAGAGCTAGTTACTCCTTAGCTACTGCTTCATAAAACATCCCAGGACTTGCCAACTCAATATAATGAACATTCATCTCATAGTTTCTGAAGGTCAGGGATTTGGGAGCAGTTTAGCTGGGTGGTTCAGGCTGAGTGTCCCAAGGTGCAGTCAAGATGTCCACCAGGCTGCACAGGTGTGAAGACTGGACTTGGGGAAGATCTGCTTCTAAGGTGGGTCATTCACATGGCCAGTGGCAGAAGGCCTCAATTCCTTGTCATTTGAGTGAGTAGCTGCTTCCCTGTCATTATAACATGGCAGCCAGTTTCTTCCAGAGAAAGAGAGGTGGAGAGAGAGAGGGACAGAGAGAGAGAGAGAAAGAGAGAGAAATGTCAAGATGGAAACCTCAATGTCTTTGATGGCCTAGTTTGGATGTTATAGACCATCAGTACTGCTTCGTTGGAAGCAAATCCATGATGAAGGAGAAAGAGGAATTAGGCTCCACCATTTTTTTTTTCTTTCTGTGATGCTGGGGATGGAACCAGGGTATTGCCCATGCTAGGCAGGTACCTGCCCAGGCTCCATTTTTAAAAAAAGTGAGTGTTAAGAACTCATGGACATATTTTCAACTATCACAGCTAGTAAGTGGCAGAGCCAGGCTTGAAGCTTAGGCCTTCGAACTCACCCCACATGCGATTGATACTCACATGCTCCCCACTTGGCCCTGTGCCCCCACACTCTGGCCCTCCCTGGAGTGCTCTAGAGCCAACAGCCTGCCCAACAAGTTCTAGGCCTGTGCCTGGAACACACGCTCTCCGCTCTTAGCCTCTCAGGCCAGGCAAAGTTATCACTCGATCCTCGTATGAACCTATGAATGTCGTATAAAAGAAATATCTGACTGGGAACAAAACATAAGCTCTCAGTCCTAGCAAGGCCTGAGATAAAGAACGTGGAGGTATCAGGGCACATCTGGAGAAACAACCATAGCTGCAAAACTGTCTGATGATTCAGTGGGCCAAATTTCCACAGACTCATGCATTCAGTAGGACTTTTCCACGCATTGAGTGGTACCAGGCACATCTTGAGGCTTTCACATCAGTACTGTCACTTACCAAAGTATCTCAAGTGCTAGAGGGGATTTCAGGTGTCACCATAAGCTAGTAATTCCGCTTAGGAGCACAATGAAGGGCTGTCACTTTGGTGACATACATCCCATGCATGTGAGATGTCCACATCACTCAAGAAACTTACACTTTTTTTGTGTAACTTGGGTCTTTTCAGGTTCTGACAAAAACTTAGCTTCTGTTCTGATTCTGGCACTGGACTACAGAATAACAAATGTGAGGACTGCAGCACCCAGATTCATAACTCCCAAAGAGCCTGCAGTGGAGAACCACTGAAAGGTGAGACTGACTTGGGGGCTCCAGAAGGTATATGCAGGGGCAGTTGGGGTTCCCAGCCAACAAATTGTACTTTTAATCTTTTCTTTTTAAGAGTTTCATTATAGATACAACACCCCTGGACAGTATTACTTAAATCATAGTGGAAGAGGTGCCTCTGTCCAGCCCCCCTCTTTAGATGAAAGTAAGAATTCTTCACCTCGTAAGTACATCTCCTTCACAATTCCATCAACAACCTAATCTCCCAGGTGTGGAACACCCACAGGACACTGGCCACTGCTTCCCCCAGTGAGTCCTGCCCTCTCCAGTCTGCTCCCCAGGTCTCCTGAACTCACCTGATACTTCCAAATTCAGTCCTGTACCGGAATGGCAAGAGGCTGAGTGGGGCTGGGAAATAGGAAATCACAGTGATAAAGGACTCTGAAAGTTACTAAGTGCTGTACCAGTTCAAGTCAGTAATAAATCATACTTACTGAACAAATGACTAATTATTCAATTATAATCAAATCATTACTGTTCAGAGTGGCTAAAGCTTTAAATATATTCTTATTAAAGATCAGTGTACAGAGAATTATTTTAATATTCCTTAGACAGCAACATTGCAATTTTCCAATGCAAAATCTTGCTGTCTTTGAAAAAAATTTAAAAACCCACAAACATTTATTTATAAAGATGATGAAGACTGACTCTCCCCTGCCAAGGAGTCTCCAATTGAAAGGAACTTATACCCAAGTAAGTAAAGTCTGAGGCAAACCATGGTAAGTACTAAAAGCAAGGTCAAAGTGTGCCATGGGACCATGGAGGAAATACTTCATTTGACCAGCACACTGAAATTCCCTGAGGGGGACCACCTCATTTCCTTCACCCCTTCATCCCTTCCTCTCTGGGGACATAGGAGGAATGCAACAGAATCAATGAAATGTGAACTGCCTAAGTGAACAACTAGTGGCCAAGGCAGTAGAAGTCACAGAGAGGCAGCTTTTCTTTAGTGCTGAAAAAGAACCTTCTAGCAGTTGGAGATGACAGAAAATGAAGTGGGATGTTGGGGAGCCCCATCTGGGAAACATGTCTTGTCTGATATTGTAGATCTGCATAACTGAACCTCATGACCCTGTGCCCCTTTCTGAGTTTCTATGTTTCCAATAAAATCCAAAGTTGTATCTGGAGACTGCCAAAGAATGAACATTGACTCATTAGTGCCTCTGTTCATCCTGACCCTACACTAGGACTTTTTGGCTTCCATCCTGCTTTCCATGTTTGGGGAACAATGTTTGTTCAGTGGGACCCCCTAGAGAGATGTGAAGCCTACCTATGAGACACCAGTGAGTAACACAGGAGACCTGGAGATAGAAAACTGAGGAGGAAGAGAGAAAGGGGCCCCAGTGATAGAGGAGGCACATTGTTTGACCACTGACTTATCTCTTTTCATTTCCCTGGCTTTCTTTTTGCCTTCCATGGTGACTTTCCTACACTTTGCTTCTCCGTTTAGTTTCTCTTCTGGAATTGTCTTCGTAACACAGTTGTTAAGTTTCTGACTCCTAGAATGCTTGCTCCTAAAATTGAAGAGGATTTCAGGAATCTGTGTGGGTCCAACCTCTCGAAGCTATTATTCTTCCACTTATCAGATAAAGTAGTTGAGTCCATAGACGTTGGACAATGTACCTAGGACACACAGTGAGCACCTGAACTCCTAGCCTATGTGCTAATAAAACTCCCTTTAAAGCTGAATTTCCTTTCATGAATTCAGAATACTTGATAGAAAATTCTTTGCTTTCTGTGTTCCCTAATTTTATTATTAAAATTTTATGAACTACTTCATTCATGTTAAAAAACTAAGAAAATAATACATACCTAACACTTGGAAATTACTTTGTTTTTTGGTAATTTGGCTCTGAGCTTGCTAGGCAGGTACTCTAAATCATACTTACTGAACAGATGACTAATTATTCAATTATAATCACCACTCCAGCCCTGGAGAATACTTTTGATGCTCTAAATTTAGTCATAACTAACATTTTTCAGCTTGTTTAAACCAAAACGGATCTGTCCCCAGAGAGTGAATTCAAAACGTTTCCAAGATAAATGTGAGCCCATGCCACAAAAGTAAGTATTATTTTACTATTACTAATAACAAAATCAGCTATCATTGGTCAGATGTGTACAATGTGCTTAAATGCATATTATAACTACCAAAGATTATCTAGATCATAAGTAGCAAGAACTGGGATTCAAAACTCAGCTTCTCTTAGTACTTCAACCATTCCTTTAACAAATACCTGAATATCAAATGCAGGAAACCATGCTAGATTTTGAGGCTATTACACAGTCAACTATTGTCTCTGCTCCTCATGGAGCTTACTGTTTTGATAGAGGAGTCAGACAATCTTTCTTAGTGTCCAGAAGAGAACATTCAGAATGCTACTGACCTAATTTGGGGCTTCACAGAAGTTGAGCTCCAAATAACAAGTATGAATGAACTAGCAGGGGGCATGAGGGTAGAACATGCCAGTCTAAGAGGCTTCCTGAAGTGGGAAGGGCCCTGGCAAACTCAGGAACAGTATGGATGGAGCCCAAAACAGGGAGTGTGCAGCAGGGCAAGATGAGGCTGGTGAAGGAAGGCTGGTGGAATGGGCAGGGCCAGCTGTGCAGGGGCTTGTCAGCTACTCAAGGACTTCAGACTCTTGGGAACAATGGGGAAAAACAAAGGAACTTTTTAAACCAGGGAGTTTTGAGGTGTTTTAAGAAATTACTCTAGCTATTGAGGGAAGAGGAATGGATTAGAGGAACCAGAGTTGGAGGCCAAATAAGAGGTTAATGCAGTAATTCAGGTGGGATAAGGGTAGTACAGAAAGTAAGAGGGAAGTCTATGTTTTTAGCTGTTTAAGAGGCAGAAGAGTAGCTAAGATTTTAGGCTCTGACCCCACTACCAACTACCATAGTACAGTTAGTCATTTAAAATGTGTCTTCAGAGACTTCTTGGGTTACATCTTGGTTATGTATCCTTAGAAAGGCAATTAACCTCTCGGTGCCTGTTTCCCCTATGTAAAATGGGAATAGTAGGGCTAAATCCATTGAGGACCGAGTCAATACATACAAAACATGAGAATTTGGTGTCTGGTTCATAAAAAGTACTCAGCAGACAATGCAGTCGTTAGTACTGTTGACAGTGGTGACTGTAAGATGCAGGGAGGGAGAAGACTCTGAAGCTGTGTTCTCCCCACTGTACCACACTGCCATCCTGCCCAGAGTTTTTCATTAGTGAGGCCCTGCTGCAGAATGGCCTGTCACCTGCTGGACAGCCCCAATACACTACACTAACCACAGAGTCAACTAATGTTAACGTGGAAGGGGAGGATGGATTAAAGGAGGTGCTGAGGTCAGTAGTATTTAAAAGAGACTTTCTGGAGATGACGCTACTCACAAGTACATGCACCAATGTAATGCTTAGTAGAGGGGTGGCAGGAGGATGGCTTCATGACAGGGCTACTATTCATGGTGGTGAAAAGTCTAACTCTCAGCAGGGCCCTTCACACAGACTGTGTCAATAACCCCCCTGGAGCTATGCATCCTGAACACCAGAGTGACTTGGTACAGTGAAGACTATCCCTCTGAGACAGAACCATAATTGTGCAGTAGTCTGGGGAGGACTACTGATTTAAAGAGGTGCTGCTTTTACTTTTCTACTGCTCTGGCCTCTTTGCTGGCTAAGCTCACTGGTGCTAGAATGAACTCAATTCAAGGTACCTGCCAACAGCAGTTCTGTGTGTTCACTTGTTTTTTAAATATACAGCATAGAAGGCTGGCCCCCCAAAATGAAGAGTGAACAAAAATCTCTTTGGAGTCTTGCCTCTTTCTATTCCAAAAGGCGGGTGTGTGGGGAAGGACATGTCCTCACAGGTCATGCAACAGCCTTTTGCTGAAGCTCAGCTATGGCCCCCACAATACTACAGTCCCTCCACCCCACGCCACACAACAGCTGACTTGAAGGGGAGAGTGTGCTTGAGGGTGCTCTTTATGCAAGTACCAATGTGCTTTTTGTCTTCCAGAAAAAATCCTAAGACTTTCATGACCTTCAGCTCAGCCCTCGCAATACCCTCAACCCATCTGCACTCCTGCAGGATTTCTGGAAGCAAATCCTTATGTGACTTCAACAGCACCAAAGAAACAGAATCTAAGGTGAGGGCTTTGCAGCTCAAAAGTTTGGTCTTAATAACAACAGAACTGTTAGCTTTTAAGTCACTGCAGCATGAGGTTTTAAAAAATGCTGTGCTAAAGATGATTTGTGCTCAGCACTAACCTAAAGACCCATGGCCTTAAGTTTATATTATTCCTAAATTGGTTCCAAGGGCAATTTCCTGGAGAAAGTATTTGCAGGTGGTGCCTGAGCAGCAGGATTCCCCTGGCCCAGGAGTGAAGGCCTTGTGTTGGTTAGGGCTGCCAGTAGCTCCTATCCTCAAACCATTAACACTACTCCCCAGGCCCACTTTCAAATGCTTCCACAGGCATGCATGCGCTGTATCCCTGGGTGCCCTCTCAGTGGTTATGGCCCCCAAGTCCCCTTCGAAGCCCCTAAGAGCTTTTCTTTTTTTCTTTCTCTGCAGCAGGGAAACAGCTGAGCACGTTGCTGACCTCACTCTCTGATTCATGCTCATCAATCACGTGTTGATCTTTTTTCTCTTCCTTTCCCTAACAAATATATTCCATCTCAGGCTGGTTTCCTAGGAAACCAACACTGAAAAACAGAAATAAACTTTGGAAAACAGAATGCTCCAAAAACTCCATCTTGCAGTGCTTAATGATGAAAGAACCCAATTGTCAGAAACAATAGCAAGTGTATGTAACTAAGATATGTGGACTTTTCTTCTGTAGATGTTAAACTCAGCTTTGGATCAAGCCCTAAAGACAGCCACCATTTTGAAAAAATCTACTGACCAAATGATTAAAGCCATTGCAGAGGACCTTGCTAAAGCACAGAGACTGAGGAACGGCCTGAAATTCTAACTCAACCCAAGGCAACTGAAACTGAGGTTAAAAGAAACAAAACCAAAACCAGAAAATGTGATGGTTGTCCCCAAAGTATTTTATTAGTGAAGATGACCTTCTAGAGAAAACATCAAAACCCTAATAAATGGGTAACACAAAGTGCTTAAATGTAAAAAAGGACCTTTGATTCTTATTGAAAGCAACCAAGTATTTACATTAAAATATATGTTCTTCCAAGTGCATAATAAAATAAACCAAAACAATAAAATTTACTTTTACCTATTAGTCTGGAAAAAATTAAAGTTTGAAAACACTGTGTGTGTCACTGAAGATGTAAGGAAACAGGTACTCTCATATGCTGTTAGTGGGAGTATAAACTGGTGAAGTCTTTTTGAAAGGCAATTTAGTAACAGTGATGCTCCCTGACTTATGATGGGGATACATCCTGATAAACCCCATAGTAAACTGAAAATAAGTCATAAATGCATGCAACACACCCATCCTACTGAACATCATTGCCTAGCAACACATACACTGCAGAGTATCTACTGTTTCTCTTGTGATCGCGTTGCTGACTGGGAGCTGCAGCCGGCTCCACTTCCTAGCATCAGAAGACAGTACTGCCTGAGTATTACTAGCCCAGGAGAAGATCAAAATTCAAATTTGAAATACAGTGCCTACTGAATACATAATTGATTTCACACCATCATAGCGTCAAAAAAAAAAATTAAAAGTCTATCCACTGCTGAGTTCAGGACTGTCTATATCTGCCAAATTCCACAATTCCAAAAGCATTTCTCTTTTGATCAGCAATTCCACTGCAAGGAATTAGAGATAATTCATGCACTATCCCACCATTCATTTACAAGAAGGGCCACTGGATCACTCACTGATGGTACATCTTCAAGAGGGACTATTTTAAATGCCCTATGATGACTAATAGAGAAAAAGAGTTCATACCCTGCAACCACTGAAAAGAATGAGGTGGATATCTGCAAGACATAATAGTGACAAAACCCAAGCTACCTAAGAATATAGCCAGTGTGACCTCATTTGTGCATTTTTTTTACAGGGCTTACATGTCTTCTAGAAAGATGCACAAAAATCTAGGAAATGAGTTTGAAATGGGAGGAGGAATTTTTACTTTTCCCTTATTTATTGTACTGTATGAAATTCCTGCAATATACTTGTAATTTTGTTTGTTTAAAGATCTATTGAAGTCAAGAATACATAAAAAAATGAGTTTAGAAAAAGATAATTCATTAAAACTGAACACCAAGGATTAAGTGAATTTATAACATTTCCCATCGAATGCTAGAGCAAGTTCCTGACTGGCTTCATGAGAACTGATTTATTACCCTTCTTAATGGCAAGAGCAGCAGATTATTGGCTCTCCCCCTCTCCTGAGGCCCCCTGCCTCCATGATCGCCAAACATTCAATAAAAGGCTTCCCAGCCCCCACAGTCTGGCTCAGCAGTGAGGAGGGAGGTGAATATATTCCCGCATAAGATTTTTATGCCAACACAGCTGCTATTTGTGTAGCTGGCTGGAGAATGGGCTATATTTAACTTTGGGACTTGGAAATTGGTTTGTAGCACCTTGGAAGAGATAATGCAGAGGCCAGTCTGAAGATAACTCTGTGGCTAAATTTACATAGGCTGTGGCACTATAAGAAAAACAGTAAAGACCAATGGCAGTATTCTAAAAGAGAAAAAGGGAGTTTAAACTTTGTGTGTTGTATTAAATAAAATCTATGGGAGGTCATTTTTGTACTGGGCTCCCGTGCTAAGCTCAAAGAGACAAAACCAAATCAGAAAGCCGGGCACTGGTGGCTCATACCTGTAATCCTAACTACTCAGGAGGCAGAGATCAGGAGGATTAAGGTTCAAAGCCAGCCCAAATAATTCACAAGACCCCATCTCAAAAAACTCTTCACAAATATAGGGCTGGTGGAATGTCACAAGGTGAAGACCCTGAGGTCAAGCTCCAGTACTGCAAAAAAAAAAAAAAAAAAAACCAAACCAAAATGGAGTCATGCATGCTAGATGCTATGTAGCCAAATTGAACTTTAAAAAAGGCCAAGTTAAAAAACAAAAACAAACGAAACTCCCAGGAGAGTCACATAACCAGTCAACCTGAGCTGGCTCATGTGATAAGGAAGCTCCCTCTGTTTAACCTATGCAGGAAAAGTAGCTTTGAAATGACCAATAAGCTTTCTGTTCCACATCTTGTGACTATAAAGCCCACTCTATGCTCAGCTTTTTTCTCTCATAGATGAGATCAACCCAATTTATGAAGCACTAATAACAGTCAATTAGGTCATTAAACTCAATGTTTTTCAATACTGGGGACTGAACCTAGGGCATTGCACATGCGTGGCAAGTGCTCTACCGCTTGAGCTACACTTCCAGTCCAGAAATTTTGTTTCTTGATAGTTCTAAGATGCTTCTAGCTTCACAATAAAATTGAACATAATCAAAACTCAAGAATCTGTTTTGTATGACAAGTATCACTATCCCATCCCCAAGTTTAAAATTACAGATTTCTCTGGCTTGGCTGAAATGTTCTTACACAATTCATTAATTTTTGGGGGGTTCATCCCTCTTTGAGAACCTGATCAAAGCTATGGAGTCTCCCCATTCTCTACCCTCCTACAGAAAAGGAATATATGCATATATACAGAGTTTTGCACACAATTTTTAAAAATTCATGCATACCCCCTGGGTCCCATGGAAATGACATCCATTAATGAATATTCCTAATCAACCTTTCTGGAAACTTGCAAGCTTAATCATTTCTTTAACTGAAAAACATGGCCATTTCTGCCTTATTAAAGCATATTCTAATGTAATTTTCCATTTCCTTATGATTGGGATCATTATGTGTAATCACTGCACCTGGGAAAGCACCAGATTCTGATTTATAAGGATAATTGTGTTCTTATTGATCCTGTAACCTGGGATGTCTCCTCCCTCAAGGTTGTCTTTGTGTTTATCCTCACTGGCCTTTCTTCTAATTCTGTTCCAGCAGCAAACCAGAAAAACCAGCTAGTTCAGTAAAACTGCACCCCTATAGTGCTGTGAGTCAGGGGAAGTGGTGCTGTGAGCAGTTAGATGCCTAGGTCTTGGCATGCAGCCATCGCATGCTTACTCCCAGGAACAGAATGTTTTTCTATCTCTGTGTAAGACAAAAGTTCTAGCCATCCACTTTAGTTAACTATTAGATTATCAAAAGATAATTCACCCTTTTTATCACTCCTTCCTATTTAATCTTGTCAGTGAATTTTGTTTCAAATACTCATACTAAACGAGTATTTGTTTATATTTAATCTTTCAAACAATTATTTCGGCAGTAATTTTGCTCTTTTGATTGTAGAAGACATCTGCTTGCATCCAGATGGGACTCACAAAGGGTACAAAATACCTAGGGCAGAAGTGAGTTATACAAGTGTTACATCTTACACAAGAACTCACCGGAGTGAGTCCAGGCCTTCTGGGGCTCAAATCTACAAATTCTGTGTCCTTGTGAGGTGCAGTAGAGGTCAAGGGCCTAGGAACAGGATTAATAAGGATGTTTTTCTTACTTACCTTTTGCCAATATGTTGAACAATGTGGATCCACTGTGCTTTATAAATCAAGTGTATTTTTTTTTTGCTTCAGAGACAGTGAATAAATGATTTCAATAAGTTGCAATAGCAAAAAAGTCTTTTTCATAGTGTTTTTTTTTTCAAAATAAGGTCTCAATATGTTCCCCAGGCCTGCAATCTGCCTGCTTCAGTCTCCCAGGTGCTGGAATTACAGGCATGTACCAACCACACCCAGCTTCATGGTCTTGATATTAAACATGAAACTGCTAACATTCTGGTTAAAAAAAAAATTAGCTTATATTAAGAATTTATGAGATGACCGCTCTTCAAATTCATGAGATTTAGTAAACAAAGTGTCTCTCCATTTCTATACTTCACATATAGATGAAATATAGGATTTAAAGGATCTGATATCAGCATGACAGGGTAAAGCAATCATTAAACTGGTGAATGACAGGCCAGTTAGCGGTCATCACATTTGTCATAGGGCACTATTCCATCCATGTCCTAACAATGGAGTTATAGAGAGTAACTGAAGCACTCAAGGATCTCAAATAAAATGCAGACACCACTACTGTGGAGGCAGAGATTAGAAGAATCAGGCAAATAGTTCGAAAGACCCTATCTCGAAAATACCCAACACAAAAAAGGACTGGAGGAGGACTCATGTGTAAAGCACCTGCGGCCTAGCAAGCATGACGCTGAGTTCAAACCCCATGCCACCAAAAAAACAAAATACAAAAAATACCCCAAAAAAGCGCAGACACCAAAAATCATTCCTCGCCCAGGTTTAAGTCCTAAGTGCTGGTCCCTCAGAGTGTGACTGTATTTTGGAGATAAGGCCTTTAAAGAGGTAATTAAGTTAAAATGAGGTTGATAGGTGGGTCCTAATCTAATCTGACTGGTGTCCTTCTAAATGGAGGGGATGAGGACACAAACACACACAAAGGGAAGATCATGTGAAGACATGGACAAGACAGTCATCTACCAGCCAACAGGAAGACCTCAGATAAAACCAACCCTGCCAACACCTTGTTCTTTCAGTCTTCCAGCTTCCAGAGCTGTGTGAAAGTCAGTTTCTATTGTTTGAACCACCCAGTCTGTAGTACTTTTCATGACCGCCCTAGTAGATAATACAAGATTAGGGCGTTCTGTAAGCAACACAATAAAAACAATTAGTTTGGAGGACCAAGGCATCATTTGGTTTATCAAAGCAAAACCAGGCAAATGTGGCAAGTAGAAGCCAAAGAAAATTCTCTTTAATTATGAAAGGATATTGGGGGTTGGCATTTAGCTCAAGTGGTAGAGCATTTGCCCAGCAAGTGAAAGACCCTACTACCACCAAAAAAAAAAAAAAAGAAAATCCTCTCACTGGAGATGTACTATTTTCGTGTTCATTACGGACAAGGCTTTTCTCTCAGTGTCCACATCCACATGAAGCTACATAAACCTCTTTGTGCCTCAGTTTTGGCACACGGAAAGCACTCAGTAACATCTGCATATTACTTTTTTATGAGAGTACTTGGCAAGACCACAAGTTATGAATTAGCACACCATCTACTTAAAAAGAATAATAGAAGAAAAGATCCAATCCACAATGGAACAATAAAAAATAACATATTCTGGCAACATGAAGTACCTATGTAACGAAAATTATGATTCTGAAGGTTAAAAAGATTTAGACAAATAAAAATATTTCACATTCCTGAATATCATAAACTAACATAAAGATGTTAATTTTTCCTAAATTAACCTATACATTTAAGAAAAATATCAAAACAACCTTTTTTTTTAAAGGAACTCAACAAAAATTATACTAACATTTACCTCAAAAAGTCTAATAGCCAGAAAATCTCTGAAAAGTATAGGTAATTTAGGTATGGGTAGAATAAGTATTACTTTACTTCTATTATGTATTAAAACACATCACAGATAGAAATTGGGAAAAAGAAATACAAACTACAGATCAATGAAAGAATCCAGATATAGTCCTATGAGATTCAAATGGAAATTTAGTCTACAACAAAGGTGGTGCTTCAGATGAGCTGGGTAAAGGATCACCCAATAAAACACAGTGCAGGACCTGGCTGTTCAGAAAGGAGCAAAGCTGGATCACCAGGAAATTCTGCATTAGTCAATGTTCTGTACGAAAAGTCAACTTCCCAAGGTGTTCTTAATAGAAAGGGATTTAAGAGAGAATGAGGTCCTTATAAAATCTTGAAAAGACTGTAGGAGCAGAAACTAGAGACTCAGGGTCATTGTCCCATCTGTGAGCCACAGAACAGGAAACCAGTGCTGCTGTTGCTGCCACAGCATTGACTCATACCCAGGAAGCAGGTGACAAGACACTAAAACCTGGAGTCTGGTTGCTACAAACAACTCTGCATTGGCATAGCCACAGAGGATGGCTTCCACCTTCTATTTTCAAATCAACCAAATGCGTATCACCAATCTAAACTGTTCCAAACCCTACTTACCTCAGAGTCTGAAAAACTTCAATTTAGTTTTTCATCTCCTGTGGTATGGGTTTGGGATGCATGAACATAATGCCAAGTGCTAAGAGGCAGTATTATTCTTGTATTAAAATGAATTCCAGATGGATGAAAACTAACTGAAAAACCCAAAATGTTCTAGAAGAAACTGAGTGAATTTATAATCTCAGAGTACAGAAGGCACATCTTCTGAAACCAAAAAGGAAAAGTAGTGGCTCTATCTGCATAACTAGTAACAGGGCAGGGGCAGAACTCCGTGATAGAGCACTTGCTTAGCAAGCATGAGCTCCTGTGTTTAATCTCAGCACCCCCCACCTCCCCTCACCCACATCCTTCCCCCCCCAATACTCCCCCACCCCCACAACCCCACACCCATCCACCCACCCACCCACACACCAGTGTTTTAAACACACGAATCCTTTGGTCAGCTATGACACTACTAGGAATTTGCATTATGGAAATACTTGTGTAAGTCTGCCAAGGTATAATACAGATACTGCAGAATTACTTGTAAGAGCAAAACATGAGTGAGCGATACATCAAATTATGATCCAACAAATGACAGAACAAAAGTCAAGTAAAAGGAGAGAGATGAAATTAAGTTGCTACTTTTGTGTAGCATACACGCAGACATTATCTTTGTACTATCTAACCTTATATACATTGTTTTTTAAAAAGTCATTAGAAATGATCTCAGTGAGAATATTAATGTACCTTTTTTTCTTTGTATCTCTAATTTAGAACTTTTGCTCACCTTTTTTTTCTGTGGGATTGGGATTTGAACTCAGGGTTTTGTGCTTGCAAAGCAGGCGATCTATCATCTGAGCCACACTTTAAGTCCATTTTGCTCTGGTTATTTTGGAGATGGGGTCTTGTGAACTATTTGCCCAGACTGGTCTTGAACCTCGATCCTCCTGATCTCAGTCTCCCAAATAGCTAAGATTACAGGCATGAGCCACCAGCACCCAGCTTAATTTATAACTTTTAAACTTCTAGTTTTTCCACTCCTACTCAGAAAAAAAAAAAAAAAACTCATGTAATTTTTGCAACTATACATTTATTTTCTTTTAGAATGTTCATGATTATGTTTGGTCTTCTAGTTTAAACATAATTTCAAAATGATGTAAAATTGTGTCTTTTAGAAGTATCTAATAAGATAAAGTATACACTGTGAAATCATTCTATTAATGACTGGAATTATTTTATACATAAAAGAAATTATGAATTTCAATTGAAAGAAAAACTGCACTTATAGAAAATAATTCTATCATACATACACATTTACAGTTTTTGCTTTTATAAACTCTTCATTTAAAATCATTCTTTAAAAAAAACTATATACTTCAATATGAGACTATCTAATGAGTAATTAAGTACATATATGGGTGGCTGTGAAAAATTACCCATTACTCTAATATATTCTGCTTCAAAGGAGAAAACCCTTATGTTTAGAAAGCATTTTATTATTTCTTATAATCTATAAAGCAGCAACAATATTTAAATTATTAGAAATGGCAAATCCAATAATACATAATCAGAAAGTCCCTTAAGAAATGTACTTGAAAAGCCATTATTCCATAAAATATTTACACTTTAAATTACATGATAGCAACATTTTCTTGCTGTATTTTAGTTTAACATTATTAGTAAAAACCTCTAAGCCAGAAAAAAAAACAAAAGCTACTCATCCTGAATAAAGGAGACTTTATCCTTGGGTTTATTCAGCATCTTTATATCATCCAACAGCTTTTTGGGTGTTAAAATATGTGTAGAACCTGGCAGGACAAAAGAACTTTTCAGAGGCCAGTAGTTAAATCAGTTTTCCTTGGCTTAATCTATTACATCTTGTCCTTCAAATAAGCAAAATGCTTGGGGTATTTTCAGAAAATTTTTTAGCCATCTCTCTGAAATCTGCCTATGTTGACAATTCCGATCCTTGTCACTGAGCATGCTCAGCAACCTTTCAGAAACAATGCCTACTCGTAGCTTCTGTCTGCTTTGTGCTATAGATTGGCATAGGAAAGAACAGACTGAGATTTTCTCTATCCTCAACAGAACTGCAGTGACTGTTATTCAGTAACAGAACTCTAAGCAATGCTCTGGGTCAAGGCTCGTCACACAAACCTGCAGCTCTTTGGTCAGAGGAGATTACTCTCAGGAGCTTTGAATGAAATTCTAAAAACTCAATTCTACACAAATCTCACTAATGTCAGATCTGTACCAATAGGAACTGAAAATATTTCTGAAGGAGAAATGTATTTATGTGTCAAAAGTTATTAATGATCAGAGCAAACAAAATTAAAGGATACAGTATTTCAAAGGAACAAGTTCATTTCTCCCAAATCAACATATTTAAAAATAAAACCATCAAAAAGATAACGGAGGGAAAAACTTCAGCAATCAGATAAAACACATTTCATGCATGGCTAAAAACATTTTTGGTATTCAATAATTTAGTTATAAAGATGGATGTAACAAGGTAAAATTTCATATATAATTTTTTTTCACATTGAGGTTCGAATTCAGGGCCTCACACTTGCTAGGCAGGTGCTCTACCACTTGAACTACTTCACCAGCCCATATGTAAGATTTTGCATTTAGAAATTATTTTGAAAATAGAAAAAAGGAAAACAAAAGTCTTACCAATGATAACTTCACAGGATTTATGTGCCTGAGAAACTTCATAAGCACAACGCATTTCAGAGTATGTAATTCCTCCAATTACAAAAATAATCAGCCTTGACCCATTTTTCCGGTCTAGTTCTAAATAGTTAGTTCTGGGTTTCTGGCGAGCACTAAAAAGTTAAAAAAGAAAGAAAGAAAAACAAACATATTAAAAACATTTCCAAAGTCACACTGAAGCCATATGAAGACTTTTTAAAAAGCCTAATCTAATTGGGCTCAACTTTGGTACAGTTACATTGATTTTAAGGAAATAACCTAACTAGTATGATTAGAGTACCTGGAGTTAGGCAGGACAGACACATTTCAAGTTTCAACTTTGATAAATCACTCATAGTGGCACTTGGGAGGCTGAGGCAGGAGGATTGAGACTTCAAGGCCAGATTGGGCTACATAGCAAGACCCTGTCTCCAAAACAAACAAACAACAAAAATCACTCATAGTTTAGCTCAGCATTTTTATCTATAAAGTAGAATTGGCTATGTTGGAATGAGTTCCTTAACCCACACTTAGCTTGATCATCAAAGGATGAAGGGTACATGCTGAAAGTGTCTAAGCATAATTTCTGACTAACTGGCTGATCTCTAAGCTACACAGACACAGAGGCAACCACTAAGAGCCAAACTAAAAAACAAAGTTAAAAATCTCATGAAGGTTATCAGTGGCTACACACAGCAAGAGAGAAAGGTTCCTTGACTTAACGCCACACAAATAACAACAGAACTCAGAGATGCTATGATACATTTTCTAAAAAATTTTCAATCAAAAATTAGCAAATATGCAAAGAAAACAGGACAGTGTGACTCACACTTTGGGGGGGGAAAAGGAGTTAATAGAAACTGACCCCTAGTGGTCCCAGATATCATATTTAGTAAAGACTTCAAAGTGGTAGTTAATGAATAGGAAATCACAATGAAAAGGAAACTAGAGCTGGAGGTGGAGTTTAGCCCTGCACCACAAAAGGGGGAAAAAAGAGAGAGAAGAAACTAACAAAGAACCAAATGGAAATTCAAATGTGAAAAGTATGACAACTAAAATGAAGTCACCAGAAGGGCTCAAAAACAGACTGACATGCTAGAACAACTAATGAACCTGAAGGTGGATCTTACAAATCTGAAGAGGAAGATGAAAGAAAAGAAAACAGAGCCACAGTGACCATGTAATATATGCCAAATCTTCCAACATATGCGTAATAAAAGATTCAGATTGAGAGCTGGCAGAGTGACTCAAGTGGTAGCCTGCCTAGCAAGCATAAGGCCCTGAGTTCAAACCCCACTACTGCTAAAAAAAAGAACAAAAAAAGGTTTCAGACTGAGAGGAAGGAGAAAGGGACAGAAAAAAAGAAGTAAAATAAAATAATGCCCGAAAATTTTGATGAAAATTTTTAGCTTGAAGATCTGAGAAATTCAACAAACCCCCAGATAGAATAAATACAAAGAGAGATGCACCGAGATATGTTGCTAAGACAAATCACTGAAAGCCAAAGGCTAAGAGAAGATACTTCGAACACAACCTAAGATATTGTTCAGGATACCAACATAGGTAGGAGAGGCATTAAGACATGCACATGTACGTGAATGAAAACCACAATGAAACTTGGGAGAGGGAAGAGGGAGAGTACACCAGAGAAGGGCATACAGGAAACTTGGATCGTACTTTTAATGGATGACTTATGAATGCTGAGTATGAGAGTATGCATTGTAACATTCTCTTTGTGAATGTTAAATACTTCAAAGGGAGTTTCGAAATGAGCTCCTGGGTACCACTTTCAATTAATAGTCTAGTATCACATTGAGAATGTCACTGACTTTCATTACAGGTTTTACCTTACAGCTCCGGAGCCATTCCACACTGCTGGACACTGGGAACAATACGGCCATTCTTTTGAATCTAATCTATTATCAATGGCATCCTAGGGAACAAAAGAGAGCACCATCAAGAAAATGTTGGAAACTCAGACTTTCAGCTTTTTGTTTGTTTTGCATAAAGGTCAAAACTTGTATTTAGCCAGGTGCCGGTGGCTCACACCTGCAATCCTAGCTACTCAGGAGGCAGAGATCAGGAGGATCATGGTTTGAAGCCACTCTGGGCAAACAGTTCATGAGACCCTATCTTGAAAAAAACCCATTACAAGAAAAGGGCTGACGGAGTGGCTCAAGGTGAAGGCCCTGAGTTCAAACTCCAGTGCTGCAAAAACAGCAACAAAAAACTCTTTGTATTTACAATGAATGAATCTGAAGAATATATAAATATTCAATATAACAAAATTAGCTCTTTCTTTGAAACCCAAAAATCATACTTGCTTCAAACTACTTACTTACTTACTTACTTATTAAACTATTATTTTTTGCAGATGTGCCTTTCTTCATTTGGAGGGTCCTGCAATGAATGGTATGAGGACTGTTCAGTTCTAGAGTGCCAGTGCTGATACACCTCTTTAAGGCTTTGCCCTTCTGAACAGTGACTGAAAACAGGAGGTACACACCTGGCCTAGGGATACTCAGGACAATCCAGTGAGTGTGGCAGGTTTTCCCTTTTGCTTTATTTTTATTTTTTTCATTTTTCTCAGTACTACATTTTATGATATATTTAGTTGTATGGATATACTATATACATGGATTATGTCTTATTGGGATGGTGATCTGTAATTTGTCAATGAAGCTTTGTATTTATTTTTTTTTGTAATTAGGTGACCACAAAAATTGAGACCATGGTTTTACAGCATGATAGCACAAATGGTATTGAAAGGGGTACAAAGTCAGGCATGGTGGTGGATGTCTGTAATTCTAGCACTGGAGAGAATCAAGAATTCAATACTAGCTGGGCATGGGTAGCTCACACCTGTAATTCTACTCAAGAGGCAGAGATCAGGAGGATCATGGTTAGAAGCCAGCCAGGGCAAATAGTTTGTGAGACCATCACAATGCCACCCTGGACTATATAGTAAGACTCTAAAATCCAAGAAAATAAAACATAAAACAACAAAACAAACCCAATGAACATAAGGAATGAGCACAAAGTAATCAAAGAATATTTTAATAAAACTGCAAGAAAAGAAAAAAAACATGTTTCAGAAGAAATCCTAAAAGCCTAAGATCACTACTGATCCAAAAGGGATTTCCTGCATGTAACATACAAATCCTTTTCAATAGGTTCCAAAACTCTTATTTTAAAAATACAGCTAAGAGAAACTACTTAGTTCTGCACAGTCTTTGTGGGGTTTCAAAGGAAAACTGGAACAAAAGATTATTTTATTGGGCTTATAAGGCAATCTTTAAATTAGCTCATTTTGTAACTTCCATAATTCAATGTTACTGTGTAAAAGCAAACAGCACTAAAGGCATTATTCATGTGCTGTGAACTTTTTTTTTGGTGGTACTGGGGTTTGAACTGAGGGCCTCCAGCTTGCTAGACAGGCACTCTACCACTTGAGCATGTGCACAGCCCTTATTCATCCTTTGGATCTAATGGCAAACTATAGTGAAGTTTTACATTTTAATTACAAATGCATTTCCCAGAAAATTAGCATTTCTAAATGTGGTCACATATGAATGGTATTTTGTTGAATTTTCATTCAATTAAATTACATTAACGCTATATAGGTATTTACAATAGTAGTGCTTTTGTTTTACAAAGTATATGTGTACTTGTATTTATGTATGTATGTATTTAAAGACAGTTATGTTGAGTTTTTCTGGTCTTCAAAAGACTCTACATGGGATTAGTAGTCAGAATATACAAAGAGCTCAGAAAATTAAACACCAAAAGAATAACCTAATTAATAAATGGGCAAATGAATTAGACACATTTTCTTTTTAAAATTTTTTAAAATTATTGTTATACTGGGGTACACTGTGGCATTTACCAAAGTTCTTAGGATATATCATAGTTGAATCTACTCCCTCTAATAATTCAGTAGTTTTCAAAAGAAGTATAAATGGCCAGTAAACACATGAAGAAATGTTCAGCATTCTTAGCCATAAAGGAAACACAAATCATAACATCAAGAGCCGGGTGCTGATGGCTCACACCTGTAATCCTAGTTCCCTGGGAAGCAGAGATCAGGAAGATGGAGGTTTGAGGCCAGCCTAGGCAATAGTTTGCAAGACTTCTATCTCGAAAATACATAGCTTAGGCTGGGCACTGGTGGTTCACACCTGTAATCCTAGCTACTCAGGAGGTAGAGATCAGGAGGATCACAGTTCAAAGCCAGCCCAGAGAAATAATTCTTGAGACCCTATCTAAAAAACCTATCACAAAAAAGGGAGTGGCTCAAGCAGTAGAGCGCTGCAGTACTAAAAAAAAAAAAAAAAGCCATAGCATTGAGATTTCACCTCACCTCACCCCAGCCAGAATGGCTATCAAGAAGACAACAGGCCGGGGACCCGTCTCAAGGTCCTAAGTTCAAGACTCAATACTACCAAAAGAGAAAACAAACAACAAATGCTAGTGAGGACAGGGGCCAGGAAAGGAACCCTCATACACTGTTGATGGAAATGCAAACTAATACAGCCACTATGGAAATCAGTATGGAGGTTCCTCAAAAAACTAAAAATGGAATTGACATATGACCCTGCTCTACCACTGTTGGGCATATACCCGAAGAAATGCAAGTCAGCAGATGAATGGAACTGGAGATCATGTTAAGCAAAATAAGCCAGACTCAGAAAGACAAATACCACACATCTTCTCTCTCATATTCAGATTACAGACCTATAAATACAAACAAACAAAAAGACATGAACCTAAGTGGAGGACTATCTGGGGTGGGAGGTGGTAGGAGGAGGACAAGGGAAGGTGCCGAGCTCAGAGTACACTGTATGAATGTATGGTAATGTCACCATAAAACCCATTATTTTGCACAGTAAAGTTGTTAAAAAAAAAAAAAAGACTCTTTAATCTCACCTCTCATTATCCCCAATACTATGCTTTTGTGAACCTTCTGAACCCTGCAAAAAACCCCTACCCACTAAATATGCTCAGAAAGACAGAGAAAGACAAAGAAAAGAGAATACTGCACATAGCTAGTGAAGAGGTTCAAGCAGTAAGAGTACTTGCCTGGCAAATGTGAAGCCAAGTTCAAACCCCAGTGCCGCAAAAATAAAATAAAACAAAAAAAAGAATACTGCAGAGGGCACTCAGACATAAGTATAAAGTTAATGATTTTTACCTCCATAATATCTTTGATGAAAGGTGTCCACCGAGAAAGTTGAAAAGTTTCTTCTGAAGACCGATCTTTTCGCAATGGTTTGCCTTGTTGAGACTAAAATAATTATAGGAACAAATTAAAAACAAGTAATTTCTTCAGTAATATTATATACTCTGTTTCTTAACAAAGACATTTAATATACAAGCAAATGCAATACTGTATTTTACTTAAAACTAATTAAAAAAATACACTAGGTGTAGTCACCTAACTTTATTCAACAGTATTTTGTGCTTTAGTGCTAACAGCATCAGGAAATATGTTTAGTTAAATAACAGTACCAAATTTGGTGGGAAACAGTGGGATTCTAAATAGAGTTCTTCCAAATTTGACTTTGAGGTTTCTTTTTCTGGTATTGGGGATCAAACCTAGAGAACTCAAGCATGCCAGCCAAGTGTTTTACCACTTGGCTATACCCCAGTCTTGGGCTTAATACTCCAGCCTCTTGCATAAAATTTTTTTTAAGCAAGAGAATACAATTATTTTCTGTCCTATATTAAAGGTTAAATGTATAAATAAGATATGGCAAACTAATGCTATAAGTGAATCATAAAGAGAAAATTTTAACTAGCAATTCATTAGAAAAACATACTTGTCTAAATTACTCATATGGAAAGACAAAAAACTTTTTTTTTTTTTTTTTTTGTGGTACTAGGTTTGAGCTAAGGAATTCATGCTTGAAAGGAAGGCACTCCATCCCTTTTTGCTCTGTTATTTTGGAGATGATGTCTTGCTTTTTGCCTAGGTCGGTCTGAACCATAATCTTTTAAGCTTCCCACTGTCACTGAGGTGATAGGCATTCACCACTGTGCCCAGCTGTTTTGTGGGTTTTTGCTTTTTTTTTTTTTTGTGCCTCAGCTAGCTTGGAACCATGATTCTCCTGATCTCAGCTTCCTGAGGAGCTGAGATGACAGGTGCCACCATACCCAGTATTGATTGAGATGAGGTCTCAAAAACTTTTTGCCCAGGTTGGCCTACAACTACAGTCCTCTAGATCTCAATTAGCCTCCCAATTAGCTAGGATTACAGGCATTAGATACTGGTTCACAGCTTAAAAAAAAAAACAAACTTTAATTCTTAATCAAATCATAGTATGAGGTTACTATACTTGCCCATAAGGATTCCTACATAAGCACAGTTAATGCAAAACAACCATACACACACACACACACACACACACACACACACACACCACACACACACACAGTACATATATTTCTTACTTGAGGAACAATGGGAACACCAAGGTAGCTCCAGTTACGAATCATGTCACTCTCATTTTCTATTTTTACATTCTGAATCAGTCTGTCCAAATTTTCTTCCGTAGTTCCTTAGGTGTAAAAATATGAGTGTATGACCACATGATTGCTACTGCAACCAATTATAGATTTTAAGTAGTAAATGAATTGAGCCTTTTAAAAAGCAAACAGTCCAATTATATCCCCTTTAGCCTTCTCTCAATTTTCCATTTTTCCTCATATATACTTTTTTTGGGGGGGAGGAACAGGGGTTTGAATGCAAGGCCCTGTACTTACTAGACAGACACTCTACCACTCTCTTCATCCATGCCTCCAGTCCTCCTCATATTTACCTTAACCAACTTCAGCTATTATCTTTGAGTTTTCAGAGATTCTCTTAAGATCAGCAGTATACCACTTATTGAAAAGTGACTTTCACATTTAAGAAAGAAACAGAAGACAATGGAAGATGGAAGGACCTCCCATGTTCATAGATCAGAAGAATCAATACGGTGAAAATGGCTACATTACCAAAAGCAACCTATATATTCAATGCAATCCCTATCAAAATTCCAATGACATTCTTCACAGAGATAAAAACAAATCAATCCCCTTAATATCAGACCCCAAACTCTAAAGTTGGTACAGGAAAGAGTAGGAAATACTCTGGAATTAATAGGTATAGGCAAGAACTTTCTCAATGGAACCCCAGCAGCACAGCAACTAAGAGATAGCATAGATAAATGGGACTTCATAAAACTAAAAAGCTTCTGCTCAACAAAAGAAATGGTCTCTAAACTGAAGAGAACCCACAGAGTAGGAGAAAATATTTGCCAGCTACACATCAGACAAAGGACTGATAACCAGAATATATAGGGAACTTAAAAAACTAAATTCTCCCAAAATTAATGAACCAATAAAGAAATGGGCAAGTGAACTAAACAGAACTTTATCAAAAGAAGAAATTCAAATGGCCAAAAAACACATGAAACAATGCTCACCATCTCTAGCAATAAAGGAAATGCAAATTAAAACCACACTAAGATTCCACCTCACCCCTGTTAGAATAGCCATCATTTGCAACACCACCACCAATAGGTGTTGGTGAGGATGCGGGGAAAAAGGAACCCTCTTACACTGTTGGTGGGAATGTAAACTAGTACAACCACTCTGGAAAAAAAATTGGAGGCTACTTAAAAAGCTAAACATTGATCTACCATATGATCCAGCAATACCACTCTTGGGGATATACCCAAAAGACTGTGACACAGGTTACTCCAGAGGCACCTGCACACCCATGTTTACGGCAGCACTATTCACAATAGCCAGGTTATGGAAACAGCCAAGATGCGCCACTACTGACGGATGGATTAAGAAAATGTGGTATCTATACACAATGAATTTTATGCAGCCATGAAGAAGAACGAAATGTTATCATACGCTGGTAAATGGATGGAATTGGAGAACATCATTCTGACTGAGGTTAGCCTGGCCCAAAAGACCAAAAATCGTATGTTTTCCCTCATATGCAGACATTAGATCAAGGGCAAACACGACAAGGGGATTGGACTTTGATCACATGATGAGGCGAGAGCACACAAGGGAGGGGTGAGGATAGGTAAGACACCTGAAAAACTAGACGGCATTTGTTGTCCTCAACGCAGAGAAACTAAAGCAGATACTTTAAAGCAACTGAGGCCAATAGGAGAAGGAGACCAGGAACTAGAGAAAAGGTTAGTTCAGGAAGAATTAACTTAGAAGGTAACACACATGCACAGGAAATCAATGCGAGTCAACTCCCTGTATAGCTATCCTTATCTCAACTGGCGAAAACCCTTGGTCCTTCCTATTATTGCTTATACTCTCTCTTCAACAAAATTAGAGATAAGGGAAAAATAGTTTCTGCCGGGTAGTGAGGGGGTAGAGGGGGAGAGGGAAGGGGCAGGGGGAAGGGGGGAGAAATGACCCAAACATTGTATGCACATATGAATAAAATAAAAATTAAAAATAAATAAATATTTATTTAAATAAAGTTCATATTTATTTATATATGAAAAAGTTCATATGGAAGCACAAAAGACCTCAAATAGCCAAAAGAAGCCTAAACAAAAAGAGCAATGCTGAAGGTATCATAATACCTGACTTCAAACTATACTACAGAGCCACAGTAACAAAAACAGCATGGTAGTGGCACAAAAACAGACATGTAGACCAATGGAATAGAAGACCCAGAAATAAGGCCAAATAGTTACCATCAGCTGATTTTTGATGAAGGTGCCAAAAATATACATTGGAGAAAAGACAGCCTCTTCAACAAATGGTGTTGGGAAAACTGGATATCCACTTGTAGAAGACTGAAACTAGATGCATGTCTCTCACCCTATACCCAAATCATTTTAAAGTAGATCAAAGACTTTAATGTAAGACCTGAAACTTTGAAACTACTACCGGAAAACACTAGAAGAGAGAGGCATACCATAGGCAACGACATCCTGAATAGGACTCAACAGCTAAGCAAGTAGAGTAAGGACTGACAAGTAGGAACGCAGCAAACTAACAAGCCTCTAAACAGCAAAGGAAACAGTCACAAGAACCAAGATACAGCCAACAGAATGGGAGAAAATCTTTGCCAGCTATATATGTGACAAGGGATTAATAAACCAGAATATATAAGGAACTTAAAATCTAAACTCCAAAAGAATCAACAACCCATAAACGGGCAAATGAACTAAACAGATTAATTTCAAAAGAAGTACAAATGGATAATAAATACATGAAGAAACGTTCAACATCCCTGACTATAAAAGAAATGGAAATTAAAAAAAACCACTAGAGATTTCATGTAACCCCATTCAGCTCTCATAAACACTGCTATCATAAAAAACACAACAACAAATCCTGGTAAGGACACAGTGTGTTTGTGTGGAGAGGTATAGAAAGGAACCTTTATATATTGTTGGTAGGAATGTAAATTAGTGCAGCTACTATAGAAAGAAGTATGGAAGTTCACAAAAAAACTAAAAACAGAATTACCATATGAACCAGCAATATCACTCCTCGGTGTATACCCAAAGGAAAGTAAGTCAGGATACAACAGAGACACCTGCACACCCATGTGTGCAGCACGTTCTCAATAGTCAGGCTACGGAATCAGCCTAAATGCCCTTTAACTGATGAATGAATAAAAACATGGTATATATGCACAATGGAGTATATATTCAGCTCCAAACAATGAAATTATGCTGGTGGAGTGGCTCAAGTGGTTAAGAGTACGTAGGCCCTGAGTACATATCCTAGTACTTACCCCAACCCCCACAAAAAGAATGCAATTATGTCAGTAGCGGGAAAATGGATGGAACTGAAGATGATCATGGTAAGCAAAATAAGTCAGGTTCAGAAGAATAAAGGTCACATATTTTCTCTTAGATGCAGAATCTAGATTTAATAAAATGTGTTGGTGGCATATATACATTTTTTGCATATATGTATCATATATTACATATATATATATGTATCAGGATTGTAATTGCAGGATTATTGGCGGGAGGGAAGAGAAAAAGAGAATGATGGGGGTAAATAATGTTGAAATACATAGTGTCTACATATGAACCATTTATAATGTATATAGAAACCTGCTGAAAGCTGTTGAAAAATGGGAGGAGGAAAAGACGGGATAGAATGAGCAATAAAGGGGGTTAATCTGATCAAAATTCAATAGATGCATTATGTGAAAGTCCATGGTGAAACCCCTTTGTATATTTAATATACACCACAAAATAAATAGAACAAAGTGATATTAGAGCTGGATATTTTAATGTATGCATGAAAATAAAATCTCCATTACCATTAATACTGAAGATGTAAAGTAAGATTGCTCTGATTTTATCATAGTTCTCATGGTTTTTGTTGAGTAGAACTGGAAGGAGCACTAGCATGGCATCTTTCACCTTCTGTCCTTCTGCATCAGTTCCAAGTGCGAGGTCCTTAATGAAAACAAAACAGTCGGTATTCTACCATACAAATTCACTTTTTTGTTAAAAATATCTATTATTAAATCATCAAATTTTACTTCAACACTAGTAACATTTTACAGGAAAATATGGATATCACTTGTACACTATTCATTGTGCAAAATGTACTACACTTGATCTTAGCCAAAAGGCCAAGAAGCGATTCATTGTACAAAATGTAAAAGGTCAAAAAATAAATCAGAGCGGGAGAAAAATTATTAATCTGAACCTATGCTAGCCAATATGATAGCTACTCCTAGTGGGGCCGTTGAGCACTTGAAAGGCGGCCAATCTGAATTACCGTGCTGTGGTGCAAAATACCAGATTTTAAATACTTGGTGTGCAAAACATTTTGGACAGGTCAAGTTAAGTCAAATATATTGTTAAAATAATTGTATTTAAAAAAAACCTTTGTAATATGGCTACTAAAATACTTAAGATTACATGCCAACTTTTTGATGTTCTAAAAGTTAAGACAGTTACAAAAAACTTCTTAAAACAAATAAAATGTGTCTACATAGGGCTCTGCAGGATGTTATATTCAATGCTGTACCCATGAGAAAGTTTGATCAACAATGCTACTCTGAAATAATACTCTAAAACCTTAAACCATTCCACTCAACCAAAACTGCATAATCACAGATTAGGAAGAACTGCTTACTAAGATACCACATACCTACTTGTTAATGTTGAGGGTGTTATAGTTTGAGACTGGAATGTCCCCCAAAGGTCTATGTGTTAAAGGCTTGGCCCCTACCTTGGTGCTAGTGGGAGGTGGTAGAAACTAAGAAGTGGGGCCTAGTGGAAAGTCTTCAGGTCACTGGAGGTGTACCCTTGAAGAGGACAGTAAACCTCTACCTCTTCCTCTTTCTTTTGCTTTCTGGCCACGAGATGAGCAGTTCTGCTCTGCCAGACACTCCTGACATGATGTGCTGCCTCACTACAGGCCTAAAAGCAATGACAGCAACTGACTATAGCCTGAAACCTCTGACTGTCAGCCTCAATGTGCTCAGCATGCACAGGTCCTGGGTCAATCTCCAGAACTTAAAACCAAAAAACTATGAGTCTAACTTTTTTCTTTCTAAGTTGATTATCTCAGGTATTTGTTAGAGTAGCAGAGAGCTAATACAGTGAGGAATCATGCATTAAATATTGTCTACCAGGGTCTTCTACAAGTCTATGATTTTGTGAAAATCGACCACTGTATTGAGCAAAAATTGCATTTGAACTTATAAAATTCATTCTGGAAATTCATTATGAACATAGGGTATTTCTGACTTTGTACATACCTGCTCAGTTTTACAGAGCTTTTCTATATTAAGTTTGAATTTATTCATGCAATCTTCTGCTAAGTTAAGATGGACAACTTGCTGAAAAACAGAAGAAATCAATCATTTACACCATTTTAATTACTTTTTGTGCAACTGGTAATATTAAACTTTTGAGATAGCCCTGAAAGAAAGTATGGGCTTAGGTGAAAGAAAGTAACATGTAAGTAAGGAAAACAGCTCAAGAGAGGAAGTAAGAATTGGTGTGATTGATAGGAGATCAACCAACAGTAAGAACAGAATGGAAGTGCCAATCTTATGTTGATTTTGAGAGTAATGAAAAATGAGACAAGGAGAAAAAATAGTGAAATCCTGAAGACCAACAACAAAAGGTTATATATATCACTGGTTCTTGGCTAGGGTGCAGAATGACAAAAATGTATAAATATTATTCTGATAGTCATTTTAGAGAAGGACTTGATCAGCAAAAACAAAAAACAAAAAATGCTTCACCTAACCAGACAGCTTAAATGCTCTAAAATCTATTAATATGTAACTATTAAAGAAACACATAGAACAGCAACCACTGCTCAATCTAATGTTGAATTTGCCTATGAGGCTGATAAATATTAAAATTATTCTCTGTTTAGCTGTTTGAGAGAGAAAAAATGTTTAAGCTGGATTTGAATAAATACAGGTGATTTAGGTAAAGCAGGTATTGGATAACTTGGTTATTTGGGTTTTTTTTCAGACCTACAGGAAAGTTTTGGAGGACAACTAACAAGTATTACATGAAATTCATTGCTAAACCAGAGGACTGGACAGACTGATCAACTGAAAACAATTAAGGCAGAACTAAAGGCTTATCTCAGGCAGTAGACAGCCTGTTTTGCAAGTGTGAAGCCTGAGTTCAAACCCCAGTACCACTAATGAAACAACAACAAACAAAAAATAAAAGCACTAGGCATTGTACATACAATACTGCTTACCTTCGTAATCTGTTTACGGAAATGGGGCATCTTTTTCATCAGTTGGGTAAGAGCACTAAGTGATGTCTAGGAAAAATCAGAAATATTTTAACCAAATCTATACAGTTATTTTGTAGTACAACTATTCAACCCAGAATTTTAAATATTACCAAACTTAGTTTATTAAACATTTGGCAAATTTTAAAAAGAAAACCTCAGGATGCTTCCAATTTTAGTCTCAATAAAGTAGCTGATATCAAAATCACTCTCTCCCTATAAACAAAGGTAAAATTAGACAAATAAATAAAACAACAGCTTTTGGGTAATGGATTAAAAAAAACAACTGGGTGAAGGAAAGCACAGAGGGTGCCCAAAAATGTATAGACTAGTTGCCCTTGGATCCCTACCCTGCACCTGTACAGGGCATTACGACACTTGATGCACTACTGGAGAACAACAGGTAGATACTGAATGTTGGACAGTGAATTCAGAGGAGTCTTAGTGCCAAACAGTGTGCTAGCATTTCATATTCTCTTTCTCTCTCTGGTGGGACTGGGGTTTGAACTCAGGGCATTGTGCTTGCAAAGCAGGTGTTCTACCACTGGACCCCACCTCCAATCTATTTTGCTCTTGTTATTTTGGAGATGGGGGCTCTCAAGAACAAGTTGCCTGGCTGGCCTTGAACCGCACTCCTGATCTCAGCCTCTCAAGTAGCTAGGTTTACAGGCACCCAGCTGCATTTCACTCTTTGATCTGCACAGAGACCTAAGTGAACACTGCAGACATTCCGTCCTACGACTATGCCTTAGGACTAAGTGACAAAGTGATATTCTCTCACCATAACATTGCTTAACACAAAGTCTGAACAGAATCAAGGTTCTTATCTAGCAACATTTTCTGTCTGCCAGAACCAAACCAAACACTCAGTAGAGAGGACATCAGCTAGAGCTGCTTCAATGTGTCAGCAACAGCTGACAAGTGGAATAGGAAAGTGGTCAATACTCAGTGATAAAACAGTCAATAGTTCCTAAGGATCATGTCTGCTAGTCAAGACTCCTCATCCAGAGACAAAAGCCCCAAGGGGACACAGCCTGAAGGCATCAAGAACAAATGGAATGAGGTTACTGACACCTCTGATAACATGAGCCTCCTGGACTCCCTCCTCCAGGCCATCTATGCTGTGGTTTGTTTGTTTGTTTGTTTTTTATTGTGTGCTGGGTGGGGGTATGCTATAGTTCTGACAAGCCCTCTGCCAGGCAGCAGCAGCTAATCTTTCTTATATAAAAGGTTATAATGTAATTGGTCAAGCTTGTTCTGGGACTAGGAAAATGACTATATAGGTTTGTCATATAGATTCTGCAGCAGACTGAATTGGATCTAAAGGCCACCCAGATCTTGGTCCTGATACACAGCCAAGAACTGGTTCAGGAGACAAAGAAGGTGGCCATAGCATTAGGAAATGACATAGGTGCCTCTCGTCATGCTTGCACAGGGAGTGCCAACATATGTGCTGAGGTGCAGAAGCTTCAGATGGAAGCCCTCCTATCATTGTGGGTACCCCTGACTGCATGCTTGATATGTTTAACTGGAGATACCTGTCTCCCAAATACTAAGATGTATGCACTGAATGAGGATGATGAGATAATAAGCTGCAGATTCAAGGACCAGATCAATACATATTCCAAAAGCTCAAAGGCAACATCCATGTGATTTTTGTTGTCAGCTACAATGCTTCTGATGTGACCAAGAAGTCCATGATATCCCCCATTCAGAAACTCACTTAAAAAGGCAAAACTGACCCCAGAGAGAGTCTGCCAATTTCTACATCAACATGGAATGGGAAGACACACTGTGTGACTTGGATGAAACCCTGACCATCAACTAAGGCAGTTATCTTCACCAACACCCAAAGGAAGGCTGACTGGCTCATGTAAGAAGATGCACATCTCTGCCATGCATGGAGATATGGACCAAAAAGTATGAGATGTGATCAAGAAGGAGTACTGTTCTGGCAGAGGCACTAATGTGCATCAGTTTTCTTTAGTCAACTGTGGCCTTCCAACCAACAGGGAAAACTACGGTCACACAATCAGTAGCGGTGGACATTTTGGCCATAAGGATGTAGCTATTAACATGGTGACACAAGATGACAAGAGGACTGCTGTAGACACTGAGAACTTCTACAGCACCTACATTGAGAAGATGCTCTCAATGTTGCTGACCTGGTCTAGAGAGGATGCCCTGTTACCTATTCCCAGGCGAAAAGGTGCCAAAAAATGGACACTTGTCATTTTTTTCTTTGAATAAATGTCACTTTTCAAAGCCAAAAAAGGAACTGTGAACATTTCAGACAGCCTTTTCTTTGGGAAAGATTCTTGTCCCAGTTTCTATCTTCTCCCAAAAGCCACTACTCATTTCCCTCACCTAGTCACCTCCAGATCCTACTGAATTCCTGAGAACAATTCAAAGGGTTGTTGGTACCAAGCAAATGGATTAGCTACCCAGATAAGACTGGCTGTATAATTTACAAAGTCCAGTCCTCAGAGGTCCTGAGTTCAAACCCCAGTACTGCCCCCCAAAAAGAGAAAAAAGAAAAAGAAAGTAAGTTATTCTAAATCACCTGGGATACAGCTAATGTTGGGATGGAAGTAATTCTAAATATAAATAGTAGTAAAGAAGACAGGTCAAAAAACCAATGCTCTAAACATCCAATCAAGGAGTAGAAAAAAAAATTAAACCAAAGGAAGGTGAAAGAAGGAAATTTAAGATCAAGTAGAAAACAATACAAAACCATTATACAGCAGAGAAAATTAACAAAAACAAAAGTTGGTTCTTCGAAATATTAAAAATAAAATAGGGAGTATTAAATGACATAAGGGAAACACAAATTAACATCAAGATCAATAGAAAGGGCCAGGAGCCAGTGGCTCACACCTGTAATCCTAGCTACCTGGGAGGAAGAGATCAAGAGGATCACGATTTGAGGCCAGCCTGGGAAATAGTTTGTGACACCCTATCTTGAAAATACCCAACACAAAAAGGACTGGCAGGGTGGCTCAAGTGGTAGAGCATCTGCTTAACAAGCATCAAGCCCTGAGTTTAAACCCTAGTGCCACCCCCCCAAAAATAAAGGAACATTAATATAGATTTTCCACGCATTGAGAAGAAAATATTTCAAAATTTAAATGTAACAGACAAATTTCTTAGAAAATGAAATGTTCCCAAACTGACACTACAAAAATTAAAATTCTGAATAGCTATACATCTGTTAAAGAACTTATAATCAATTGTAATTAAACACTTCCCCATAAAGAAGACTCCATGCTCAATGGTGAATTCTTTCAAGCAATAAGCAAACAAATAATAATCTTACAGAAATACTTCCAGCGAATAAAATGAAAGACAATATCACAACTCATTTAATCAGACCAATCTAATTTTGCTAATGAAAACCTGACAAAAATATTATAAAAAAAGGAATGCTACAAGGAAACATTTCTCATAAACATGGAAGCAAACATCCTAGGCAAAATATTAGCAAGTAGAGCCAGGTGCTGGTGGCTGACACCTGTTATCCTAGCTACTTGGGAGGATGAGATGAAGAGGATCAAGGTTCGAGGCCAACCTAGGCAAATAGTATGAGAGACTCCATCTCCGAAATAACCAGAGCAAAATGGACTAGAAGTGTGGCTTAAGCAGTAGAGCTCCTGTTTTGTAAGAACAAAGCCCTGAGTTCAAACCCCAGTCCTACCACAAAAAAAAGACAAAGTATTAGCAAGTAGAATCCAGCAGTATCAGAAAAGGACAAAACATCATGATCAAGTAGAGTTTATTCTAGAAAGGTACGGTTGGTTTAATGTTAGAAACTCAATAATTATAATTAATCATATAAACAGAATAAAGGAGAAAAATACAATTTTGAAGAAGCGTATGATGAAAACCAATAATGTTTTCTGGCTAAAAGAAAACAAAAACAGGGTTGGGGAGGTAGCTCAGTGGTAGAGTGCTTGCCTAGCATGCATGAGACCCTAGGTTTGATCTCTAGCACCACAAAAAAAGGGCGGGGAGTGAAAGAAGGGAAAGGAAGGAAAACATTGAAAAAAGAACTGTTGGCAATTGGGTGTGATGGCACACACCTGTAATCCCAGCAGTGAAGAGGTAAAGGCAAGAAGGATTTAGAATTTGAGACCAGTCTGGGTTATACAGCAAGTTCCAGGTCAGCTTGGACTACAGTGAATGAGACAACAAACACACAAACAAACAAGAGCTGGAGGTATGGCTTAGTGATAAAGCACTTGCCTAGCAAGGCCCAAAGTTCAAACTCCAATACTGCCAAACAAGCAAACACTTGTTGGTAAACTAAGAATAAAAAGGAACTTCCTTAATCTCATAAAAAATGTAACTAAATTAAACTAAAACTTACATAATACTTGATGATGGAATATTGCACACAATCCGCCAAAGGATGGGCAATGAGCAAGGATGCTCACTCTCACCAGTTCTACTCCACATTACACTACACTTGGCAGTATTAGCCAGAGCCAGGAGACACTAACCACTAAGAGAAGTAGTTCAAAGCTTATAAACTATTAAAAATTATCAGTTAATAGATAGAGATTAACCTGAAAAGGAAAAGTCTAAATTTTCTTTATTCAGAGATGACATTATTATGTATATAAAAAGAATCTAATCTACAAACAAAGTATTGGTACTAAAAAATAAGTTGGGCAAGATCCCTGGATCTAAGGTGAATATCCAAAGTCACACTTTACATACTAACTACAAAACAAAATAGAATTAAAAGAAAATAGCACTTAACAACACACACAAAAAAAATCAAATAACTACAAATAACCAAAAATGTTAGAGTAAAAATCTATGAAGATGTTCTCTAGCTTGATTTAGGAGGTGGTTCCATAGGTACATACGTAAGTAAAAAGTTACCAGTATACACTTAAGATCTGTGTACTCTACTTATGTAAATTATGCATCAATATAAAAATCCCAACCATACATTGATGAAATTGACTAAATGGCCTTTTAAAATTAAACTTCAGAGAAGCAACAGATAAAATTTTGCTCATTTTTGAAATGAGATAATGGGTACAAAAGAGTTTATTTTCTCTATCTGTGGACATTAGAATGCTTCCAAAACAAAAGTTACATAAATAATTTAAAACTTCTTTACTTTTAAACTTTGTGTATAATTCACCTTTCCTATTATTTTGAAAGTTAAATAAGACACTTACCTTTCCTTCTGTTGCTTTCTTGGTTGATGAAATTTCCTTCATAAGCTTTGGGATTTCCCTGTCAAATTGTGGGAGAGAATTCTTTCAATTTCTAAGGTGTAACTCTTTACAAAATTAAGTTCATAAGACATACTACAACATATTTCGTATCTATAACTATGGAATAAAAATTAAAATAGGTTCACATACTCTAACACAACTGCGATGTGTCGGTGTCGAATTCTGACCCAGAGATCATCTTCTTCTTCAAGGACTGCCTCCTTTTCTTTTCCATCTGTTTTATATCTACAAGTAGACAGAGGCATAAAACTTTTGATATTCCCACCCTCCTCTCGCCAAAAGTGGAAAAAACACTTTTACTGAAAAGTACATGTACTCAATCCACTATTTTAGGAGGCTAGCACCCATCAAAAACTAAGGTGCATCACTATTTTTACATTAAAATCAAAGTGCTATGCCCAGAGACATTTTTACTCTCAAACGTTAGATTTATAGTCTTGGTAAAAACTACAAAGCAAAACTTCAGTGTCCTACAATCAACCTTAAGAATAAAACTGAATATACTAGCTGGGCATGGTGGTACATGCCTGTACTATCAGCACTCAGGACTTTGAAGCAGGAGGATTACAAGTTCTAGGGCAAACATGGGCTACATAGCGAGATTCTGTCTCAAAAAACAAACAAACAAACAAACAAACCAAATAAATGAAAACAAAAGCAAATAAACAAAGAAGATGGAATATACTAACAATGTGTTCTGATTTCTTAAAACTATTAGGCTGTGCTAATAACTCACAGCACAACTATCAAACATCTATTAAGTGTCAGTCCATATAGCCTACTGAAGTGCTACAGTGTTCATACAAAATTTATAAACAGCATGTATCAATTTCTTCACTCTTCTCCAACCCTGCAACTGTATCTCCTTTTAAGGAATAGGAGAAGAAATAAGAGATAAACTAATGCGGCCATTAATTAGTTCTACTGTAGTTAGCACCAATCCAGGGGCTCATGAAACTACTCAAAATGGGCTTCCTGACCACCTTCTCTTTTCACACAGGTGCCCTCTGCATTTGTGGAGCTGGAGAACAGTCCATTGTTCCTGGACTGCACTCAGCTTTCCTAGCTCTCATGCACACAATACATGTGCATGAGAATGGGCTATGTGAATGTTATCATTTCTATAACCCTCCTACAAACTATAGGTCCCACCTCTAAAACCATCTTTGTATGTGCTCTTAATTACAGATACCCAAAGATAAAACAGCTATGCTTAATTACGAGGCTGCAGTAAAGATGGAGGCCCTTTTGTTATTTAAAGCACCAACTTGTTTTTGTTTTTCATCTTGTTGCCCTCTTTAAAATTACTCTTTCTTGGTGTCCTCTTAAATTTATGTCATTTGAGTGTTGCCAGACTTGGAAGGAGGTGAGTCTGGCTACAGTGGAGTGAGCACGGGGGAGAACAGGCACTAGATCAAATAATAATTGAGGGGTGCACAGATGATATAGGGTCTGGAAGACTACTGCAAGCGCTTCGGCTTTTACTCTGAAGAAAATGGGAAGCCAAAAAAGTTCTGAGGAGTAAAGTAATATGAATTAACCTAGGTCATACCAAGATATCTTTTTTCTTTAATTTTACTTATTTACTTTTGCTGTGTTGAGGGAAGACTGAAAAGGGTCCAAAGTCAGATGCAGGAGCACAAGATATTAGTTAGACGTTGCTGTGCAGGAAGTAGAGGCAGAAGGATATTGAGATCAAGGCCAGCCTGAGCTATACAGCAAGATCCTGTCTCAAAAAAGAAAAAAAAAAAAGTCTGTTTCAAAAACCAAACAAAAATTATTGAACAAGTCTGGATTCTGGACAAGTTTTGAAAATGACTCATAAAGATTTGCTGATAAGTGCAATGCTTTTGGGCTTGACTGGCCATAAGATGCAAGAGATATGACTAAAATTTTTGTCCTGAAAAATTCCAGTAAGACTACAGCTGCCATTTACTGAGATGGGGGACAACTGGTTGGAGAGTTTGAAGGGTAGTATCAGGAGCTTGGTTTTGGATGTACAAGTTTAAGATGCTCATTAGACATTCTAAGGCAGTTGGATACATGAGTCTGAAGTCAGGAAGAATGCTCAGAATAAACACATAAATGTGAGCGCCAAGAGCAGGGAAACATTGAGAATGGATGTGCTCCTGAGAGTATATAAATAAGGAGAAGGTCCAAGAACTGAGCACTAGAACATTCCAACATTGAGAATGAAGGGTTAAGAAGGGACCAGCGAGAACTGATTTTTGAATTTAGCAAAACACAGGTAACTAAAATATTTTTGTTTTTAGTAATCAATCATATCCTACATAAAAACAGATGCAGCAAAGGTAGCTTATGTTCCTGTCTAAGTGTTATTTCTGAACTTTTTTGATTCTGGGAATCTTAGTCTCTCCCTTACTGTTACAAAAGCTCAAATCTTTCTTTGCTTGCCAGCAACCTAGGGAAATACCTATTTTATTTTACTTTAATTTGCATATAGAAGTTATGCAGGGGGAATGCATTGTGATATTTACATATGTGCTTATAAGAAAGTATGTATTTTAAATACTAGGTTAGTGATGTCTAAAACTTCTATCCACAGTCTACAGTCAAATTCTTTATTGTTCATGTTATTAATTCTTTCCTCAACCTCTTGAGCAATGCAGATTTACAGACTTAAAGAATAATAGAGGTAAATAACACCCCTTCTGAAAATTCTAAATAAACTGCTTAAAACAACTTTTATATTGGAAAAATAGCTTGGTTGATTTCTCTATGTTAACAGTAACACAAACACATACACACACAAAAAACAAACAAACAGGATCTGAACAGAATGCAAATACAAATACAATGGAAAACAAAAATAGTTTTAGCCATATTTGGTTTAAGAAAAATTGTTAGACTTAATTACAAAAAGTCGTTTGTAATAAAAACTACCAAAACTACTAAATTAATTTAAACATAAAAATTTCACAAAACTAATTTTCATTTTCATCACAATATTCAAACAGTAACTTACTTTTTTTTTTTTTTTTTTTTTTTAGGTAGGGTCTCACTAAGTGGCCTAGGCTGGCCTGAAAATTGCTATGTAGCTTTGCTACATAGGTTGGCCTAGAACTTGCAATCCTCCTGCTTCAGCCTCCCAAGTGCTGGGATTACGAGTGCCTGGCTTCAAGTAGCAAATCTTAGCTGAAAAATGCCAATTTGGATTTAGGGATTGTGATATTAAAATACATGTAATTAATGTACACATATGCATATCTATAAATGACATAAAAGGATAAGTAAAATGGTTCCTTGATAGAAAGTGACTTTTTTTTTTTTTGGATACTGGGGTTTAAAGTCAGGGCCTTGCACTTGCTAGGCAAGCAGTCTACTGCTTGAGCCATTCCTCCAGCCGTCATTTTTCATTTAACTTTGTATTTGACATTAGCTTTAAAACAAATATCCTTTTATGAAGTTAAGCCAGTAAATGCCAAAATGGCAAAACTCTGCCTATTCTCAAAAGTCACCTTATTTTGTTTTCTGCTGTCTTTAAAAATACACCACAATGACAAGATACTGTTGAGTATAAGACACAGAATAATCACAGCCTGACCATTTTGAATATGGTTTCCACTTCAAAAAATAGAATAGTGGGTCTGGTATTTACTCTTAACATAAGTGAAAAGTTCAAATTCCGCCTGTTTAAATGTAGCTTTTCATACTAAAGGTTCCTAAGCAGTCAAAACTACCAATTAACTTACAAAGTGAACATGGCTTTTAAACAGTATAATTGTAAGATTAACAGAATGGTAAGGCCTCTGAACAAAAAGGGCTTCGAGTCTTTCAGATTTCTGATGCCTTATCCCTCTGTAAATGCTCAGTCTACCCTGCTTGTATATGCCCTTCAAGTGATACTTGCTTGTATGTATCATTCTCAATTGGTAGTAGATCATATGCCATTGCCTGAAAGGTCAGTTCATGCAGGACAGTGGACACAGGGTCAAAGCCACGATCAATTATTAAGAGCTGGGAATGAGTTTTACCCTAGAATAACAAGATAAAATTTTCTTGAGAAATTTTTTTGTGTGTGTGAAGACATTTTTAACACAAAAGCAGACTATTCCTTCTAATCCTTTTCTACACCAAAAATATATGAAAGAAAACAAATGCCTTAAGAATGTGAAATCATAATAAAGAAAAATCTGCGTGGTACATTAGGGGAAAAAACCAAGTCTACATAACTAAAAGCTTTCATAATTAGATCAAGAGGCTATACTTAATATATTCTCAAATTTTCTTTTAGAAAAGCAACATTTGGCTTGCATGAAGTTGATTTATTTTACTTTTCTTTCTTTTCTTTGAGATGGTGTATATAGATGTAAGTAGCCCAGGCTAGCCTCAAAGTCTTGATCCTCCTACTTCAGTTTTTCAAGTGCTGGGCCTACAGGCACACCCTACCATGTCTGCCCTAAATTATTTTCTTATGCATTCAGCCCCGTAAACATCAAAACTAACATAAACTATGAATAGTAGCTAGCCACTATGTGAGCTCTTTCTGTTTGACATCTTGCTTAGCAAGAAATACATGTATTATTTCATTTAATGTAAGTGTTATTTCAGGATTCTTATAGTAACCCTGGCAAGACAGGGATTATTATCTACATTTGACAAAAAGGGCATTAAGGCTTGAAATTAAGTAGTTTTCCCAAATTACACAGCTGACACATGGCAGAATGGTGTTTCAAATCTAAGTCAGATTCACTCCAATCCTTCAGCTTTTAACCATTATGCTATTTCAGATAACACTGATGCCAACTAAAATGATAAATCACAATGAAAGCCTTGTTATCATTAATTCACAAACAGAACTAATCATTAAATAGTGAATAACAAGAAAGTCTATTGTTAATATCTGTATCTTTCACACTTCATTTTCAAGTGTTAAATTCTTTGGCTTATTCAAAGCAATAAAAAATTATCTACAACCATGAGACAAACATTTTCTATTTATTCACATATAGCAGAGGTAAATCACATAAGTTAGACTCTTAAATATGTCAATCATCACTCTTCTAATAAAGTAGAGATTGTATGGTACAGTGGTTAAGAGCACATCTCAGTTTGAGTTCAGCCTTGATCACTGTTGTTTTACAACTTTGGACAAATTTCTCAGCCTGTTATATGTCAATATTCTTTGTGTAAAATGAAACATAATCACATAATCTCTGCCTTATAAGACTCTAATACAGATCAAGTGTAATTAATACCATGAAAAACTTAGCACAGTGTCTGGCAATTTAATTGGTAAGCCTTCAATGTATGTATGCAAGGAGTCTTCAGAACTATGCGATTATACGAAAAGTGCAGTTAAGAGTGCTATTTATCAGGACAGTACATGGGGGGAAGTGTCACTTGGCCTGAAGAATGAGGAAAGGCTTCAAAAAGGAGGTGATATTGTATCAGGTTTCTAAATGAAAGAAAGGTATGAACCACTTGAAGGATGTACAATTTCCTAAGCAGAAAAGAATGAAAGGGACAAATTTATTTTTTGTGGATTTTGTCCTTTTCCCATTGAAATAGTAAAGGACTAGAGATGTTTACTAACATATTTACTGTGTATCTCTTCCTTCATTCAACATTTCCTCACTACTTACTATGTATACTAAACCATCTGTCTTCATTACTAGAACCAGAATGACAGCTTTTGCTAAATCCTCCAACCCAAAAATTGGTAACTTTTAAAGTAACTAACATCTAAACTTACACTTTCCATCCTAAACAAGTTGTTTAATCATGAATTTTACCTTTTCCTCTATGCCTCTACTCAAAGAACCCTAATCTGCACATGATGTTATACTCATTCGTGATGCTAAAGAGCCTCCTCCTCTAGAATGCCTTCCAAGACTTCAGTTTAGAATAACATAATCCCCAGGCAATGTTCCCACTGTATTCTATGAATTGTTCTCTCATTCCACTTTTTACACAGCACTGCAATGGTCGTTTTCTGGGCCATGTTCTCTTCTAAACTATGGACAGCTCCTTCCTTTCATTCTCTAGTTGTGATATGGCCTTTTGATACCATCTTGGCCAGTGTCCTCAGGCTCTTCATTCTCTAACCACACCTACATGCTGGTTCCCCAGGCTCCAATCTTAGTCTCTGATTACATTACTTCTGTAAGATGATAACAACAGCTGACATTTATTAAACTCCTACATGTACCAAATACTTATATATCGACTCACCTAATCCTCATACCAATAAGCAAGGTACTTATCCATTTTAAATGAAAAACAAAAGGTCAGAGAGCTAACAATAACAGGAATCCCTACATTTATTAGTTATTATCAATGACAACCATTATTCTGAAGACTTTATACATATTAACTCATTTAATCCTCTCACTGCCTTAAAAATAGGTATTTTTCTTTTTTTTTTTGTGCGACTAGGGTTTGAACTTAAGGCTTCAGACTTGCAAAGCAGGTACTCTATAGTTCATTTTGCTTTACTTATTTTGGATATGGGGTCTTGTGAATTATTTGCTTGGGCTGGACTTCAACTGCAATTCTTCTAATCTCAGCCTCCTAAACAGCTAGGATTACAGGTGTGAGCCACTGGTGCCTGGCAGGTATTTCCTCATGATCTGTTTTATAGAAATGAAAATTTAAGTGTAGAAAGCTATATAATTTGTCCTAATTAACATATTCCCCCCCCAAACCACTCTATTAACCTTTCCACCACTGCCTATGTTAATGATTCCCAAACCAACATTAGAAATAAAGAACGAACTAGCTTCTCTGTATAAAGAAACAATACGCTGGGCTGGGCGGCAGTGGCTCACATCTGTAATCCTATCTACTCAGGAGGCAGAGATCAGGATTGCAGTTTGAAGCCAGCCCCAGGCAAACAGTTTCAGAGTCTGTCTCAAAAAAACTCTTCACAAAAAAAAAAAAAAAAGGGGGGCTGGTGGAGTGGCTCAAGGTGAAGCCCTGAATCAAGCCCCAGTACCACTAAAAAAAAAAAGAGAAGAAAGAATACAAAGCCGGGTGCTGGTGGCTCACACCAGGAATCCTAGCTACTTGGTAAGCTTAGATCGGGAGGACTGAGGTCAAGGCCAACTTGGGCAAATAGTTCATGAGACTCCATCTCTAAAATAACCAGAGCAAAATGGACTGGATGTGTGGCTCAAGTGGTAAGAGTGCCTACTTTGCAAGTGCAAAGCCCTGAGTTCAAACCAAGTCCCACTAAAAAAAAAAAAAGAAATAAAACATAGTATAGACTTTATGCACAGTCATGATTTCCCTTTTATACATTACCTTTATTAGGCTTTTTTCATCGATTTTGTAGTAGTCTTCAAGTTTTTTTTCAACCAGCTGTGCAAGTTTACTGGCATTATCTAGAGGTTTACTAGAAATGGAAAAAACATTCAAACAATTATCTTTCCTTCAAGACACACTTTATAATATAATAAAGTTGAATTTTAAAATTAACATTTATACTTATTTATAAAATGTTCATAAAACGAAAACTTTTATAAACATGGAAATAATACCAAATATAATCAAATACAATGCTCAAATAATATTAAATATACTGTTCATAATATACCTGGAATTTACAAATGTGAACATTATCATATGTGCTTCAGATTTTTTAATAGGAAGGAAATAAAATATTATATATAGAGTTGCAGTTCCCTTTACTTCCTCTCCCAAATTTTAGTCCTTTTCCCACCCCTACATCAATATCCAAGGCAACCATTATCATGAATTTCATAAGCATTCTTTCAGTAATTTGTACTATTTGTGTGTGTGTGTGAGTTCTATCTATGTTGACTCATATGTCAGATTTATTCTTTTATGGTAATTGTATGGTATTCTATCTACAATTATACTGGATTCTGTATATTCATTCCCCTGAAGATGGCTATTTAAGTCATTCTCAATTTTATACTATTACAGACAACACTGAAGCAAATATGCTTATACATTTATCTCCATGGTCTTGTTTTTCTAGGTATACTACACATAAAAGTACAATTGCTAGTCCACAGGGCAAACACATTTCAACTTTTCTAGATATTACCAAATGGCTCTCCAGAGTAGATGACCAATTATCCACCCCCTACAACAATGTGGTATTTCCCCATATGTTCTCTAACATTTAGTCAATTTTCCAAGATAGACTTTTGCTTAAAATCTTGTATGTCTATGTCTTCTAATATGGGAACATTATACTTTAAATTGTAGTTTATGACTAATGGCTTTAATACGTCTTCCAACCTATGAGAAAAATGTAGCTCATTAACTAGTATAGCAACCTTAAAAATGAGGGGTGTCTCGGGCTGACAGAGTGGCTCAAGTGGTAGAGCATCTGCCTAGCAAGCGAGAGGTCCTGAGTTCAACCCCCAGTATTGCCAAAAAAAAAGAGGGGTGTCTCACTGTGTATTAAAGAATGTTTAGGTTTTATACTTTAAAAAATAAAACAGCACCTATAAAGAGTGATTTATTTTTTGCTGTAAAAAGTTCAAAAGGAAATAAGCTCATTTTAGAATTATACTTTAAAGGTCTAGGGCTGGACACAATGGCTAACACTTCTAATCCCAGCTACATGGGAACCCGTAGGTAGGAGGATCTCTGTCCCAGTCCAGAGACTCTATTTGAAAAATAAATAAAGCAAAAAAGGGCTGGGGACATGGTTCAGGTGGTAAAAACCTGTCTAACAAGCACAGGGCCCTAAGTTCAAACACCTGTATAGCCAAAACAAAATTAAAAAAAAAAATAAACAAAACTAAAAGTATATGAAGCATAAAGGACTATTCTGTGAGAGAACAGGTAGAATTTTTAAAGCCAGAATTATTTTAGTAACTCAAAACATGTCCTCTGGGAGCTATCAAATTATAAACCGTTTATGTTTATTCACTTCTCTGAGCATAACCAGCCACCAACTCCTGCAGCAGAAGTTTGAACAAAGACTAAACTGCTGCAGCAGGCAAACCACATAACTCAGCCCCACTGCGTCCGGAGTGTAATTAGCACATCACTTATTAAGAAGACTATTTCCAATTCCCAAGGTAAAGAGCTTGTTTAGTAATATCTACTTTCCTCTTTATTTCCTTTTTTTTTTTTTTTTTGGCAGAAACTCTACCACTTGAGCCATGCCTCCAGTCCAGATTACTTAGTAGTATCTAAATTAAGGATATTCACTATATATTTTTCTAATTAATAGATATTTAAAATGGCTATGTTAACAGTAAACTTAAATTTTTAAATGAATTTGCAATTAAATAATTCAACCAATTAACTGACAAATGCCAATATTCAGATTAAGGGACTTCTCAATGAAAAATCAGTAATATAATAGTACAGTATATTTACTACTACCATTTCTCTTAGTGCCATGCCATTTTCTGAGTGCTTTACAGGTATTAACTCACTTAATTTAATAGTGAGAAAGGCACTATTATCACTCTCATTTCATAGACAAGGAAGCTTAAAGGCCAGGATGGTCACACACTGAATAAAAAGCAGAGCCAGAATTAAAACCTAAATTGGGATGGGCATGGTGGCTCAAGCCTATAATCCTAGCTACTCAAGAGGTGGAGGTAAGGAGGATTATGGGTGAAGGCCAGCCTGGGTGGAAAGTTCACAAGATCACCTCTCAGTCAATGGCTGGGCATGGTGGTACACACCAATAATCCTGGCTATGCTAGGAAGCAAAAATAGGAGGATTGCTGTCCAGGCTGACCCAGGCATAAAACAAGACCCTATCTCAAAAATAACTAATGCAAAAAGGGCTGGGGGGGCGTGGCTCCCCCCCAGCAGGTAGAGCACCTGCCTAGCAAATGTGAGGTCTTGCGTTCAAGTCTTAGTACTGCTAAAAAAAAATCTGTCTGGCAACACACAATATTGTGAACAATGTGGATGTCTCTCAGAAAATAATGTTGAATTTTAAAAAAAAGTGATTCCATATACAATAGTTCAAAATCAGGCAAAACTAAACCATAGCTGGAGGTGTGGTACAGTGCCTGCTGGTCAAGCTCAAGGCCCTGAGTTCAAACCTCAGTACCACCAAAAAAAAAAAATGACAAAATTAAACTGTACGTTAGAAGCTGGACAGCAGTTACCTCTGTGGAGGAAAGTGAGTGTCACCTGGAGGGATCATAATGAGGCCCTCTTAAGATGCTGTTAATGCTTGTTTTTGGTTTTTAGCCTGGTAGGGATTAAGAGGGTGCAGTCATTCATTTTGGAATGAAATATCAAGCCATACATATAATTAGTGCACTTTACAGTAAACTTCATTTTCAAAAAAGAAGCAAATTAAACCTGTGAAGTATGAACATTAAACTTAAAAAAAAAAAAATCCCCAAACCAAGTGCTGGCAGCTAAATAGACAGATAATCCTATCTATTTGGGAAGCTGAGATCAGAAGAATTGATCAAGGCCAGGCAAGGCAAAAAGTTTGAGAGACTTCATCTCCAAAAAAATCAGAGCAAAGTGGACTGAAGGTGAAGCTCAAGCAGTAGAGTGCTTGCTTTTCGAAGCCCTGAGCTAAAACCCAAGTTTCACCAAAAAAAAAAAAAAAAAAAAACTATGTCTGTAAATGGTACCAAATTTAGTCTCTGAAATTTAATAACTGAGGTTATTAGTGAAATTGAAATTTAGGCCTTGTACTTTAAATCTCCGATATGGAGAACCTGGTAATTGTACAAGGAAAATACATTTTGTATGCCAATATAAAAAGCACAGAGGCAGTACTTGCCTCCTGACACGTCCAGTACTACTGTTTCTTACCGTTTATATCTTACTCCAGGGTTTTCATCCAAGGCGGCACACACTGTAACTATGTGCTCAGCCATTGCTTCCATCACAGCAACTTTCCCACTGGCATTCCCAGGGTCTGGACTGTAACAGTAATAGAATGCATCTGGCACATCAACAGTGTACACCTAAATTGGGCCAAAAAAAGTTAACACTGTTAACCAAGAGACTTGAGTTCAAAACCATGTGAAGAAAAATGCAGCTAGGATTTGAGACATTAAGGAAACAACACTTGGACTAACCATGCTGTTTTCTGAGACTGTCTTTACCTTAATCAAATCTCATGTTCTCTGTCATCTGGATTTCATCTTATATGTTTTCTCATTCTTGTTTCCTGTTCAGTTTACCTATCTTCTTCAATTCTTGTTTCAAGTACAGATTGTACTGTTTGCTTTTCACTACCTGTGCAACAGATGAAGGAATCTGAGGCAGCTGCACTAAAATTAAAATCTAATACCTGGCAGAAAGAAATTCAACAAAGCCAAAATTAGTCTATATATCAAGAGATTAAAAACTTTGGCTTGGATTGCTTTCCTCCAGCCCCTTCTACACGGGAGTCTCTGTTCTTTCTCCTCTTTGCTTTCCTTTCCTAATAAAACTTCTGTCACTTTGAGTCTCAAAAAAAGAAAAAAGATTAAAACTCTTAATCCAGTAGAGAATAACCTAGAAATTTCCCATCATTGATCAATGTTTCAACTCTGTGGCTTAGACTTATGTCATTAAAATAAACACATACTCCCAAAATGACAAGTCACTTTGCCAGACACAAGTCTTACAACAAATATAGTGAAACCTCATAGACACATTCATTGATTTAACTAATAAAAGCATTTACTTCTGTGCAAAGAACTGGGTTAAAAGCTTATTATTATTGTATTATTTGGAGGATACAGAGGCAGTAGTTCCCTAATTTGTATTGAGAGTATCCCATTAAACTAAGTTTTAGATTTATAAAACTAAGGATAGTAATCCCTCTCATCCCAGAATAATACACTGGGTATAGAAGAAGGTAAGTAATAAATATTACAGGTTAAGTAATGAATTGTGAATAAATGTCCTTGCATTTCCTTCCACTCAGAGCCATTCATTTATCTGATCATAACCCATTACCACCACCACCAGCAGCCTGAACATAGACTGAAGTTTAGCATGGCCAATCCAGTCACAGTTGCTGCTCAAAAATTCGGTTGTTGTATTAATTACCAACAAGCACTCTATAAACGAACTGTAATCTTATCATAGTATACTATTCCGCTGTAGTAGATATTATTTGTTCAAAATATTCACTGACCCTCCCTCTACAAGGCTTCTCCCAGGCCTCCTGAATATGATCCACAGCACCACAAATACACACAAAAACAAAGACAAACAACCAAACACACACACTCACAAACCCTACCAAAAAAACCCCTAAAGAACCATTGTATGACTCCAACATCTTCTCTTTTCATTTTGCTATGCCACACTCTCTTCAGCGTCAGTCCCAATACAGAGGACAAAGAACTATAGACAAACCACAATGGACAACAACACAAGTGTTTGTTACAATGCACTGAGATTTGAGGGGTTCTTACAGTCTAAGTGAATCTAAGCCACCTAATATTCCAATGCACTAAAAAGAATTTAGGGGCTGGTTTGCATTCTTTACTCACATTTCTTCCTAACTCTACCTCTCCTCTTCTCTACTTTCCTCCACCACCATTAAAAGCCTGTTTTGGGAAATGCAAATTAAAACCACACTAAGATTCCACCTCACCCCTATTAGAATAGCTGTCATTAGCAACACCACTAACAACAGGTGTTGGTGAGGATGTGGGGAAAAAGGAACCCTCATACACTGCTGGTGGGAATGTAAACTAGTACAACCACTCTAGAAAAAAATTTGGAGGCCACTTAAAAAGCTAAACATAGATCTACCATATGATCCAGCAATATCACTCTTGGGGATATACCCAAAAGACTGTGACACAGGTTACTCCAGAAGCACCTGCACACCCATGTTTATTGCAGCAGTATTCACAATAGCCAAGTTATGGAAACAGCCAAGATGCCCCACTACTGACGAATGAATCAAGAAAATGTGGTAGTTATACACAATGGAATTTTATGCAGCCATGAAGAACAACAAAATGTTATCATTCGCTGGTAAATGGATGGAATTGGAGAACAACATTCTGAGTGAGGTTATCTTGATCCAAAAGACCAAAAATCGTATGTTCTCCCTCATATGTGGACATTAGATCAAGGGCAAACACAACAAGGGATTGGACTTTGATCACATGATGAGGCGAGAGCACACAAGGGAAGTATAAGGATAGGTAAGACAGCTAAGAAACTAGACAGCATTTGTTGCCCTCAATGCAGAGTAACTAAAGCAGATATTTTGGGGCAACTGAGGCCAATAGAAGGGGACCAGGAACTAGAGAAATGGTTAGTTCAAGAAGAATTAACTTAGAAGGTAACACACATGCACAGGAAATCAATGTGAGTCAACTCCCTGTATAGCTATCCTTATCTCAACTAGCAAAAACCCTTGGTCCTTCCTATTATTGCTTATACTCTCTCTTCAACAAAATTAGAGATAAGGGCAGAATAGCTTCTGCTGGGTAGCGAGTGGGGGAGGATAAGAGAGGGGATGGTGGGGGGAGAAATGATCCAAACATTGTATGCACATATGAATAAAATAAAAATTAAAAAAAAAAGCCCCTTTTGGCTACTTCCACATTCTTTACCTTGTGACTCCACAATTAGCTGCTTAGATACAGACCTACTACCTTATACCTGGTCTTCATGCTGACTATACCTAGCTTAACTCTATCTCTTGTCTACATCATTCTTGGCCGGTTCCTCCCACCCCTATATTCTTGAATGCTTTCCATCCACTTGTCTTAATGTATATGTGACAGCATATCTTACCTAAGCCCTCTAAACAGGAAAGAGAGCTCTTTCTTAAATCTCTTGACTTACATAATCATAAGGAATGAGTCAATTTTCTTCCTCTCCATTTAACTTCTGAATGTGTTAAATGTCTAACTTTACTTCTTTGAGGTACCATCATATCTGACTTTACCCCAATTTCCTCCAACCATCAATTGACTTCTAGGACTTTTCCTTAAAGACTTTGGGACTAGATGCACAGTTTTCTGCACCATTTTTTTTTTTTTTGCCATTATTCTTGGTGGGGACTGGAGCCTCCTAGAATATAGCCCCAATCTATCCAAACAGGGCTTTATGTATTACACCTTTAGTCCTTGTAACCCATATTCCTGCTATTCCCCTCCACTTTTCTGCTTCTGTCAGTTTGTATTCATATTATTAAAAATGTATTAAAGAACATATGCAGAACTTGGTGGCAGACAGAAAATTCAAGCCTTAATTAATGATATAGTCAGTCTAATTTTTTATTTGTGCTTCTCTCTTCATTATGGAGAATATTTACTTGTGGATTTGATTCAAAATTCACCAAATGCATATATCAAATATGTTTAGAATATGTTTTATTAACAAGCTTATAAAATCAAATTTAAAAGTTCATTATGAACTAAAATTAAAAATTAAAAGTACCTGAGATTCATGTGGAATGAAGGAAATATTTATTTCTTTACATCTTCTTATTGACTTGGAACAAGATGCCTTGATTTTGTTAAAGAGACTATCAGGACAAACTGAGAGGAGAAAAAAAAATTAAAGCATATAACTCCATCAAAATCTTTATTCCTTTTGAAAAGATCATTCTAACATTCAAGACATGTGGCTCAAGTGGTAGAGCACCTGCCTTGTAAGTGCAAAGCCCTGAGTTCAAACCCCAGTACTGTCAAACCCTTCCATATATATATATATATACACACACACCTCTCTCTCTCTCTCTCTCTCTCTATATATATATATATATATATATACATATATACACACACATATATATCTCAGAGACCAAGACTTACTTAACTTAGATAAATGACATTTTGATTTTGAAATGGAATTATATAACACAACATAAAACAGAATTGTGTCTTTGGACTTCTCTGTGATTCCTGGGCTGCTTTCTATGTGAACATACAGCTTAGTAAGAGAAGTATGATAGATTTTCTCCTCTAACTTATGCCAAGTGGATGGCTGTTTTATTCAGTGTCCTCCCAAGGCTCTTATTTTTTATAATATAATCAAATACCCAATTGGAACTTTTGATTAAAAATAATTCTTCCTGTCACCAGCATATCATTTAAGGGCGAGCCTTCTATACCAGTTTCTTCCTGGTAATACCCCAGTATACCAACAAGAGTAATTGTCTTTTGTTTGTTTATTTATGTGGTACTGGGGATTGGACCCAGGGCCACTTGCTTGCTAGGCAGGAGCTCTACCACACCAGCCACACCCCTAGTCTGTGAATGTCTTTTGAAAATAGTTGGAAATTGTTTCCTTTCATTTTCTTTATTACCATAACATGACTTAGGATAGAATTATATATTTTTAGATTCTTTCTAGCCTAATTATAATAAATGACAAATACATAGTCATCAGTAGTCAAACAGTATTAAAAAAGCAGGTAAGGGCTGAAGCTATGGCTCTAGTGGGAGAACGCCTGCCTGATAAGCATGAAGACCTGAATTTAAACCCCAGTACTGGGGAAAAAAAAAAAGTAGATACTTTAAAATTAATAGGATTTTAAACAATGAGGTAATAACTTAAAGTGATACTTACAGTCAGTGAAGTATATATATGCTGCTTTGTATTTGTTCTCTGATTTACTTGCAAAATCTCGTAAGAAACAATCTACAGACTTAAAAAAAGGTTAGATGTTAATACAGTTTATTAAATACTAATTCAAATATGTTAACTTTGAAATAACTAAGATTAATTTATTTCAGTGATTAAGTGAAATCTTACTGCTGAATGTTCAGTTAGAAATTGATTTTTAAAGATGCTTAGTTCTCTGGCCAGTGATAGCTCATGAGGTAATATGTAACAAGCAGTAAGGTAAAGCAAAAGCAACAGAGGACAGGATCACTGGAAGACAACCAGATCAAGGGATCGAGAGGCCAATATACTAGAAGTTATCATCTACATAAACAATGAAACCATCAAGACTATGACTGGAGAAGGCTTGAACAGAGTTAACAGTGAGCTAGAGGCTAGACTATCAAGGGATTAGAATAAAAGACCCAGAGCTTGGTACGAGACTACTAGAAGGACGAAGAACAGGTAAATGGTTGGTAGCATATACTTCGATGTGGTAGTTTTTAAAAAAAAGACAATCATATGAATTTCTCCTGGAAAACCTAGAACTCTATTTGTTAGAGCATATGATCTGTCCTGCAAATCTCTTACCTCCACTCCCTGCCACACTATTATTCTGACTTTTTTTCTTTGAGATATTCCATTTGGATATCACTAATTCAAATGTCAAGGAGAGGATATTATCCTCTCCTTCAATTAATTAAGAAAATCACAGTTTGCATTTTATAAACAGTTTTAAGTGCTACCCTGGTCTCTCCCTATGTGTGCTGTTCAGGTTGGCATCCTCTTCAAGGAGCTCTATTTTGCTATATATTTTCTTCATTTCACTAACTTCCTCTTCTCTGACAACATGACCCACTTAGCTATGTGGCTGCTTTTCTTTCTCAACTCATTTGAGGCTCAGGTTTAGTTTTTGGAATATCCTAAATAGAGTCAGTTCCACAAGAGAAGGAAGAGAAAGAGTTTCTCTCCCAGATGACAAAAACACCACAGCAAAGTAGACAAATCACCAGGGCCTTTCTGAGACATCCAGTTAAATTTCCCCTGGAGTTCACAGATCTATTGTAGCAAACTCTTCCTGAAATCTGTGGCTTTACCATCTTTGTGTGGGAACTCTGACGCTGGTCTCCAGGTGCTCTCCCAGCCTATGAGGATGCAAGCCACACCCCCATGTTTCTTCACCAGTGCTCCCAAGGACCCTATGCCTTCCCCTGCACACAGAGGCCTGGAGGACTCAGCAGGCAATTGATTCAGGACAGGAAGAGAAACTGGAGTTGGTTGTGGGAGGTAAGAGTCACATTTAGATGCCATCTTCTCTGAATCCTTTGCTCCTTACTCATTTTTATATCCTACTTTTGTCACCTAATATTAAAAGTGAATCCTGAGGTCATTAAAAACTCCTACAAACACTAGGAGTTATTAGGCCTTATTTTTAATGGCCATATAGTCTTTCATACTATTATTCTTCTTAGGAACTTAATTTGATTATTTCCTTATGATAAACTCCAAATATAGAACACTTTAAGAAGATTCTTGAGAAAGGATGGCAAATGATTTTCCAAAATGGCTATATCAATCAATACTCCCATCAACAGTATATGATATTTTCTCCTCCATAACCCACAGATAGCTGGAATAGCTAAAATGTGACACACATACATTCATATGCATGGATATGTATGCAATTTTGTATCTATGTGTATATATGTATGTGTACACACAGACACACACAGACACACACAGACACACACACACACACACACACACAAAATCCTCCTGCCAATTTGCTAGATGAGAAATGGTGTTTAATTTGCATTTTTTTCAATCATGAATTTTCTCTTACAGAATTATAACATGGATATGTTTTTAAATTCATTAAAACCCACTCTGCACCAGCCGTCAATATGCAGAGATGAAATTGGGAATATCTGTTTTTTTCCTACTATCTGCTAGAGTTAGAAGTGAAATCAAAAATAGAACTGCCAAATTAACATTCTCGGAGGGAATGAACAAGAAGAGGTGCTGGAAAATGCATTCTCACATATTACACTGAGCTATGCCCCAGTCCAAGAACTTATTTTTCAGAGCTCCAAGTACTCACCTTTGATGTTGGAGAGATAAAATAAAGTGCTTTCATTTGTCTGACAGGCTCACGATTCTTATAAATATTCTCCACAACTAACATAAAACAAAAACAGGTTGTTTTACATAATCGAACTTATATACATGAGAGGTGTGGAGAGGGAGGTGGCCCAAATAATGTATACACATCTAAGTAAATGTAAAAACAATAAAATAAATTTTAAAATAAATAAAAATAAAATTAGTTTGTCAAAAAAAAACTTTTTCACTTGAGACAAATTTTAAATCAACTTTATTGTACTTTAATTTTTAATAGTAGAGATAACAGGGAAAAACATTTATATATATTAGGTTTATATTTTGTTTTCATTTGATAAATTTAAAAATCCTGAAAATATTTTTCTTGAGGTTACCTATATTGCTTTATCATGAGAAAAAAAAAAGAAAAATAAGTTACTTCATAGCATACCAGCATAAAAAAGCAATATGCTATGAAGAAACTAAGAAAACACAAGAAAAATTAAAACTCATTATTTCTTAAAAAAATATTCTATTATAATAATGGCAAATATGGCACCAGTTACACCAGGCTAAGCACTTTACATGAATTATTTATTTGGCTTCATAATGACACTATGACTATTTTAAAAATGAGGAAATTAAGTCTTCAAGGAGTTGAGTAACTTGTTAATCACAAAGATAGAAAGAACAGGCATGCTTCCAATCCAGATCTGTCTGACTCCAGAGCCTAACCTTTTAAGTACTATATTATTATTTAAATTTTTTATTCTTTTAAAAGCACACATGGATATTTACATTTTTCAACATTATCATAGAACTTAGTCAATTCTGCACTGAAATTAAGAAGTTTATGAAATTATGTAATATAAAACAAAGTGAATATAAAACTAATAAGCGGTAATTGTCAAATTAACTATTTAAAGATATAGATATATATACTTAAACTTAAGAGAATTATCCTACAAATCAAGAGAACCATCTTCAAGACTCATGTTGGCAAAAGACCTACAGAGAATCAACATTAATGTAACATCCAAGGGATGTTACTGTTGGACTGGCTCGTTTAAATGTGATGATTTCATTTCTTACTCCTAAATTTACACTAGATATCAAATAAACTTTCCAAGGAAAATTAAAATTTTTTATATAAAAAAATTCTAATTTTACATTCCCATCAATTGCAATTTTACCTTTAAACTATTAAGATTCAGGAACCTAGGTGGCAGAGCACGTGTTTAGCATGCAAAAGGCCCTGGATTCAATCCTTATGTCCCCCTCCCCAAAAACCAAAGACAAAGATTAAGGTTCAATATGTGTTCATTGACTTCTGCTGGTTAATACTCCGAATGCAGTGTACAGTCATCCTATACTATATAGACTATTATGTTTGGTGAATGATGCACATGCTGTAACTCTATAAAATGGAATTTGAGTATCAATAGCAAAAGTGCCATCTCTCGAACCCTCTGAAAAGTGTACATGTAGTAAATGATTTATAAAAAGTCTTCAATAATAACAAAAGAATTATGTAACTCCCAGTCTATTTTTTAAAAGGTTTTCACTTGGGCTGGTGGAGCAGCTCAAGTGGAGAGCACCTGCTAGGAAGCATGAGGCCCTGAGTTCAAACACCAGTACCATCAAAAAAACAAAACAAAACAAAAGGGTTTTTACTGACTTTATCTGCACTGAAGTAGTACCTTTTTTCCTCATCTATTTTTTTTAGTATCAAGACACTGCTAAGTATCATCATAAATGACCATCATAACAAAAGAAAATCTGACCACTAAAATGCTAATGCCAAATCTCAGAGTAGAGGGGTTCTCAGGAGACCTAATGTGAAACTTGGAGGAAAATAATGATAACTCTAGATAATAACAATAACAATGAAGCCAGATCAAACCTAGGTGATTCTGGAAGACATCAAGAACATTCCTCAGCAGTGTGCTCTATGACACACAGTCCTATGACTTTTCTCCAAAAGGTAATGTAGATTAATATTTTATTAGCACAGTTCTGCCTAAAATGTAGCATCATGTTTTTTTTCAGAATCTGTATTTTTTTATTTTTATACTAGAACTGACCTAAAACTTTTAACTATCTTATTTCTAGGTAATTAAATTTACAAAATCAGCATCACATATTTTTAAATATGTATAAATATGATTTTTATGACATCAACATATATTTAAAAGCAATACGAGAAAACTCCAAAAGCTGGGGATATGGCCCAGTGATAGAGCACTTGCCGATAATGCATGAGGCCCTGGGTTCCATCCTCAGCATTATTGAAAAAAAAAAACACAAACGATCAAACCATCAAGGCAAAGCTAGTGTTATCAATGCACAAAATTGTTAAATAGAGAGTAAAAAAACTTAAAAGACTCTCAATAAAGCAAATGACTTCTTCTTAGTTAAGGACAATTATTAGTCCCAACTTGAGGGGGAAGGGACTGACTTGCAGAGGTTACTCTGAAGATTCACGGAGCAAAGAATGTCAAATCCATTATGGCTAGAGTTGTAAGAAAACATAATCTCCTCAAAACACAATTGCTAACTAAAATTTCTTAATAATTCAAACCTTCCCAATAAGATAAGTATTTATGAGAATTAGTAACACTTACCAGTTATGCCCTCTTCTAGAAGATCTGTCATTTTGCAACAGGAGGCCAAAAGCTTAGTGGTAAATTCATCTAAAAGCATTATCTTAAAACACATACAAATTGGGAAACAATGTAAGAATCTGATTGCCAAAAATTTACAAAGATAGAAGTTTGGCCCTTAAATCTACTCAAACTTATTGTTCATTTATAACATAAAGTAAAACAGCAGGACACTAGGCAAAATGATCTCAACTCATCTTTTGGCTTGTGATATCTGGAGATTTTCTCAATTGACATACATATGGTTACATATATATATTATATATATATATATATATATTAGGGAAACAGAAACATTTCTACTTTGAAGAAGAACTTACTCATTTATAATACATCTCGTGTTTATAAAATTTTCTTAAAATTATAATTTGCCACTTAGAAAATAATTATTGTGCTCACTAAATTATTACAACCATCATACGAGTTACTGCCATCCCCATTTTATTTATTTTATTCATGAGAAGAATTTATGCATCTACCTGTGGTCAAAATAAGGGGAGAGGAACCTGAGGGAATTCTCCAGAATTCTGAGTTCCTTAAGGAACAATTCAGACTTGTGTCAATAATTGCATTTTCACCCACAAATGTTTACCTTTCTTCATTATTGAGTGCCTGATATGTGTCAAGCACTGTGCTGTGTTGGGAATATTTAACAAGTAGGTAAGCAAGCAAATATAGCACAGCATTCTATTTTAAGTACTAGATTAGAGAAAATACTAGAGTCTTTGGAGGATGGGGTCAGAGAACAGCAAAAAGGAAGCAAAGCACCAGCTGAGATGAGAATAGGAGTTTGGATTGAGGTGAGGAAATAGGCAACTAATCAGAATTTGCAAAGCCTTAGAGTTAAGAGAAAGCCAAGCCTTTTATTTACATATTTATTTATTATTTTTGGTAATATAGGAATTGAATCCAAGCCCTTCTGCATGCTAAGCACATGCTATTCCACTAATAAATACTCCCATCTGCAGACAAGAAAACAGGCAGAGAAAGACCATTTAACTTGCCCAAGGAGCCACAGCTATTAAGTGAAGTTAGTATTTGAATGCAAATAGTATGGTTCCAGATCCTACACGCTTATAAGTATTCTTAAGTCCTCAATAAAAGAGCAAAGTATGCAAATTCTACCTTCCATTCGCCTTCTTTCTTGCAGTCATCAAACACTGTTGTTTTTATCTCTGTTTAAAAGAAAGAAATTATTTAGTAATCTAAATCAACAGTTAGCAATAAACTACTCAAAATGTCCAATGGCTGAAAAATGTTCCAATTTGAAAATTTGTTAAACTACATAAAAAGCATATACAATTGTTAAACCCCAAGTAAAAATACAAGTATATTTAAGCCTAATTTGTACAGTACATTTAAACTATAATATATTTTTAAACTTTGAGATATAAGTATTATAAAAAAGGGCTAATTCATTTAAGTGTATGAATACATCTGGAGAATATTTCTGAAAGCATTATCTGATTTAGTTTTTCCTATTCTACTTAAATTCAAAGTAAACAGATGAAAACAAAAAACTCACAGGAAGACTTCAGCTCATTGCTGTTACATTTGACAATCAAATCTGCATAAGCATTTTTTATCCTGATTTATATTGTTTTTCAACAAATACATATCACTCATTAGGATATAGTCAGTGTTGATTTATAATCAACAAGTATTATTACATTCTTTGCAATGATTTTCAAAATATATACAGTTTAAAAATTAGTTCGATGACTTGTAAAACATTTCCCTTTCATATTCAAGAATACACACAGAGCCAGGCACTGGTGGCTCATGCCTGTAATTCTAGCTACTCAGGAGGCAGAGATCATAAGGACTGAGGTGAAGCCAGCCTGGGCAAATAGTTCATAAGGCCCTGTCTCAAAAATACCCAACACAAAAAACAGATTGATAGAGTAGCTCAAGTGGTAGAATGCACATCTAGCAGGTATGAGGCCCTAAGTTCAAACCCCAGTACTGCCAAAACAAACAAAAAAAGATCTGGAAGCTTTTACTGTAATTGGGAAGATTAGGTTATCAAGTTAGATAAAATTATTATTAAAATTAATTTTAGCTGTTTCCTTTTTACTTTGTTTTTAATATGGCTACTGGTAAATTTTAAATTATGTGGCTGGCATTACTTTGGGGGCAGTAGAAGAGACTGAAGTCAGGGCCTCCCTCTTTGAGCCACAGCCCTAATCCCTGTATTACATTTCTACTGGATAGTAAGTACTGTCTAAGAATCAAAAGATACCTATCTAGTCACAGTGTCAGCATCTTAAAAATAACTAGTTTCTGAATGAAACTAGTGATTTGGTCACATATAAGTTGTTTAAAGTAAAAGGAAATCTCAGCAACTAATATTACAGAACTTACAAGGTATTTCCTCCAAATACTAATGAAAATTATTTGACTTTATATCCATTTCTCCGACATCCTAAATATGCATATACCAAGGCTCATTTAATTTTTTTACTTTTGTCCTGTCTCCTCTGCATTCTTCCTTAGATACTATGCTCACTTAACAGATCAGTTCTTCAGTTTGTAACAGCCTTACAGCCATGTCTCTGGACTTCATTCAACTATACAACTCAGGTGTAAGCACTTACATGTCTCAATTTGAGATTGCACTTTCCTAAAAACTGCTCTAGGCTTCATTTCTGTAAGTTTTATTGTCATTTCTTAGTCACGGCCTTTGACTAGATCCTCCTTCCCTCATATGCAATCGCTGTGCAGTACTGATCGCTCTTTCTGGTGCCTGGCCATTATTTTTTTACTGCCACGTCACCAGCACACTTTGACTCCATCATTTCTCACTGCAGTACTGCAACAGACTCCTACCTAGATTTGCTGCTCTCTACCTCCACCCCCTTCGCCTTTTCAACTCTTTTTTCACACTGCTGTCAGTCAATTTCCTGATACACAATCCTTAGTTTCCATCAATAGCCCACTGAAAAGTCCCTCAAATGCCCACTCTTGCCCATAGAATAAAATTTAAACCCTTCAACATCCTTCACTGACTGGCTTCTACTTCATCTCTAAACCAATCTTCCACCAGTCCAAATGTTACTCAAATAATGACCTGCTAATGCCAACTATCCTATCTTTGTTTATTTTGTTTTTCTGACATGCAAAAAGAAATATATTTAAAACTGCAATGCCAAAGAAGAAGTGAAAACACGTAGAGAAATGAGAGTAAAACTATCACAGTGCACATGAGCAATGCTAAAGTGTGTTCACACAACTACCTCAAATCACAGAAAAACTGTTGATAGGTTTGATAGTAACAGCGCACTAGAAACTAATTTGTCTGGAAAATAGGAAATAATTTATGAACAATGGAGTTTTAAAGGGAATTAGCAAATAAAAAGCGAAACTATGTAGAAATCATAATCAAGGAAATAAGAAAAAAATTGCCAGTCTTAAAAGATAAACTCAGTGTTGACCTCGAGAAGGTACCCTTTGTCTTCTTGTTATCTGCTCTGTCTCATCTAAATCTATGGCACCCATGACCCCATATGCTGTGGCCTAAATCCTGATCTCTTCAGCTTTTTCTGAGATTTATACCTCTGTATCTCCAACTGCCTACCAGAAACTTTGATTTGCACTTGGAACTCACCATGTTCCAGCCCTAAACTTTTCCCCCTCTAAACCTGTTCCTTCTCTTGTCCCTTCATCAATAAACAGGACCACTACTAGCTTGTCTGCTCAACTGGAATCTCAATGCCGAAGATGACTCCTGCCTACCTTAAATCCTATTCAACTTGTCTCCTAAGTCTCTCCTGTTCTCATCTATCTTCTCTTTTCCTCCTTCAGCTTGTCTCCTGGACCAACATAATATTACCTAACGACCAGTCTCTTTGCCTCCTACTCCAATTTATTTCCCAAGGGCACACCCCTTTGCCTCTATGATTTTTTGTTTTAATAATCAAATTATTACAAAAGGGGAATCTGCACATACATGTTTTTCTGTCACTGCTTTTTCACTAAATATGAATCATGGATATACTCCATAGAGGGCATAAACATATTATTCTTTTTAATAGTTACAGAAAATTCCTTAATATAGGCACACTATAATTTATTCAACTCTTCTCTTAAATGCCATTAATGTCATTTAATTTCCAACTTTGCCACTATAATGTTGCCATAAGAATCCCTAAACATATATGTGTATTTACTACTACTTTTATTTCTGAAGTGGAGAGGCTCACAGTGAGACTGCTGGCATCACACTTTAATAAAAACTGCAGAAGCCTTTCAAAAGGCTGTTACAATTCACAATTCCATCAATAAGCTTCCCAACTACTGCATGTCATCAATTAACCTAATTCTGTCAAATCTGCATTTATCAAGTCAAAAAGCAGTCAACAGAATGATCTAATCTGCAAATTTCCTGTGGATATCCTTTACACTTTTTCTATTGAGTCATTAGCTTTTTCCAATCACTTTGCAGGCATTCTCTAATACAGTCATTTTGTCTTACGTGTGTGGGTATTTTCTTCAACTTTATAGTTTAGATCTTGGTTTTGTTCATGGTATCTTCTACCATACATGATTTTACAATTTTTATATAACAAAATCTTTTCTTTTACAGCATTTGGATAAGGTCACCAGTTAACCTTTCCAAAAGTCTAATCCATATTATCTGACATTTTCTCCACATTTTATTATTTTATTTTTACATTTTAGATTTTTAATGTATAGACTTTATTTTAAATTCACTGAAGCTGGACTAAGAACATGCTTACAGTAAAACAGAAGCAAGGACTGAGGACAAGAAAACAGATGTCAGAGCAAAAAGCCTTGGAGACAATATGTAAAATGTCCTGAAGCAAGGGAAATCTAATACAAATATTTATGTCTCAAACAAAATGTAAAATATGGCACAAAAGAAAACTAAGTATGCAAGCAGAAACAGAGAAAAGGTAATAAATTAAAGATCTAAAGAAATGGAATTAAGGGGATTCAAGCTGGGGGGAGCGCAGTTGAAGCTGAGAGTAGCAGCACACTCCTGCAATCCCAGCTACTGGGAAGGTGGACATAGGAGGACTGTGGCTTGAGATTAGCCTAGGCAAAACTGTGAGATCCTAGCTGAAAAACAAACTAAAAAGGCAAAAAGGCTGGGGTGTGGTTCAAGTGGTAGAATGTAAGCATCAGGACCTTCAGAACCACTAAAAACAAAAAAAATGTAGTCTGAACTTCTCATTGTGTAAGTTAGGAAACTGAAGCATAACTTGTATAGCCAAGTCTTCCCAACTACAGTACAATGTGAAGAAATAATAAAACAAGGCTTTTACAAATAATGCATGATGGCAGAGTGTTTGAAACTCAAATAGCCAAAAGCAAAAAAGTCAATCAATCTGTATGCCTTAAGTGAATTTACATTCTTGGTTTTCTGAGAATGTTACTAAATTTTAATTATGACTCCAATAGATTCTGCCTACCTCTGTCCCAAGTTATTCAATGTACAGATAAAAATCTTTATAAAGGCAAACCCAGAGGCCTGGGGCAGGAAGCAAAAGCAAAAATCCTGAGTCACTTAAATAAAAACAGATTGAACCTGCATGGAAAAAACCACTCAAGGCTTTTAAGGTACAATGTTATAATGTTCAAAACTGTATTAAAGTAGAACATATGGAAACTGAAGGCTACTACAAGAACTACATTCATACAAAGGGTGGGCAGGGGGGTGTCGTACAGTGGTTGCCTATCCACGTGTAAGGAACTGGGTTTGGTCCCCGGTTCTGGAAAAATTGTTTGTTTTCCTTTTTTGATGGTACAAGGGTTTGAACTCAGGGCCTCAAGTTTGCTAGGCAGGCATTCTACCACTTGAGCCATTCTACCAGCCCTTTTTGCTCTGGTTATTATTATTTGTTATTGAACTGAGGTTTAAACATAGGTTTTTGCACCTGCAAAGAAGGCACTCTACCACTTGAGCTATACTCCAGTTCATTTTGGAGATGGGGTTTCTAGAATTATTTGCCTGGATCAAACCATGATCCTCCTAACCTCAGCCTCCCAAATAGCTAAGCATGGGCCACCAGTACCCAGCTGCTCTGATTTATTTTTGAGAATTTCAACTTATGTCAGAGCAAGCCTGGACTGTGATCTTTTCTGTACCTCCCCGGGTAGTTGGGGATGACAGGCATGCACCATAGCACCCAGACATTGGTTGAGATGGGGT